ATGACTTCAAATATTGGGCAAAGTTGAATCTGATTACTAGTATTTTGTCATAAGCTTTATAGTGGGTTCTACATGAGTTGAACTATGAGGTGAGCCACATCTGAACAAAGTAAAAATCTCCTTAAAATACATGACAAGATAACTACTGACTACTCTAGGTCTTATCATCATGTTACGACATCTCTCCACTGTATAAGCAACAATAACTCACTTAGAAGAAAACTTCACAAATCTATTATTTACTCGATTTTTACAATCACGATTTTCTCAAATTTTTGGAGAACCATCAGGTCTTCTTATTGAAAGAGAAGTAGATCATGTCATCTATCTCTTTTCAAATACATTAGTAATTACAATGCAGCCATATTGTTATCCACAATTTCACAAAATAGAGATTGAATGCCTCATTAAAGAAATATGTGCCAAAGGTGTTTGTTGAGACCTTTACATTAGGAACTGAGTCGAGGAGAATACAATCTCAACAAAGTTGACCAAATCTAACACTATAGTGGGATAGACAATGAGACGATACATGGGAACCCAACGTTAGTGGAGGTAACGAGGTAGCAAATCTTGTAAGATAGATGTCGAGGGTGATGGGTGGATCTGGCAACAAACTTACCATAACGACAGGACCCAACATCAATAGATCTTGTTTCATGCTGTCTATCGAGGAAGAATGGTGTCAAGGCACATGACGGCTATAAGTAACTGAGAACGACCACCAAGAATGAGGGGAAGAAAATAGTGTAAGAAAACTCTTTTGAGAGCTGAAGACTCACCATCTCATATTGACAACCCCAAGGCCGGCAGTCTTAGTTTGTATTACTTTCATCTTCATCGAGTTCATCTTCATTCTCTCACTCCTCTTCTTTTCTCTCTCCACCCATTTCTCCCCTATTTACGCCCTCTTTTGATCTGCACAAGCTCACTTCATGATGGACTCGATTAATGAGACGTAGAGTTGAGTCTTACGTGTGTAGTCAATGTGCCAGGTCCTTGACTGCATCAATGAGAACCCATTGGTATCATTCAACCTTCTATCAACCCTTTTTCAAGCCTAGTTATCTTGGTCAAAATGAAAGATGGTAGGTGACCTCGAATGCTTATAATTCTACATAGATTATCATGCATTGAATCAAGCCATGGCACTAAATAAATTTTTTATACCTCAAATAAATGAACTTCTCGATGAGTTATTTAGAACATCTATTTTTTCTAAACTAGATTTAATATATGGGTATCACCAAATTTGTATGAAAGAAGTTGACATAACCAAAATGACCTCCACACCCATCATGGGCACTACAAATTTAGAGTGATGCCATTCAATCTTACCAATGCTCCTACTACATTTCTATTGCTTATGAATCACATTTTTAAAAATATCTTGAAATGTTCTATATTAATATTTTTTATAATATTAATTTACAACAAAGATTAAGAGGCAAATCAAACTCACCTTATTTAAATTTTTTATATATTATGCACAAGCATCATCTTCATATGAACATCAAGAAGTATAAGTTTAACTTGTCCTCAATTGATTTTTTGGATCATATTATTTCAATTGACAAGGTGACAATGAATCAATCTAGGATCAAGGTTATTCAATGCTGGCCCTTACCCTATACCATTAAGGAGATATACTAATTTTTGGGTCTTACTAGCCATTATTGTCGATTTTTCTATAATTATGGCACTCTTACATTACCACTTACTCAACTACTGAAGAAAGATTCTTTTAATTGAAATATAGAGGCATTTATGGCATTCAAGTGTTTAAAACTTTCTCTCTTATGCCATTCTAATGTTGATACTTCACATTTTTGAACTAGAGGCAGATGCATCAAGTTTCGATGTTGGTGTAGTACTCATGTAACAATATTGACCTATTGCTTATTTTAGTCAAGCTCTATCACCTAAACATCACCTTAGATGAATATACGAATGAGAACTTATGACAATCGTTCTTACAGTGTAGAAATGATGATATTTTTTATTGTGATAGACCTTCATCATATATATTGATCAAATAAGTCTTAAGTTTTTAATTGAGCAGAAATAAATAACTTTAGAATATCAAAAGTGACTAATCAAATTACTAAGGTTCCAACTCAAAATCAAGTTTAAAGCCGGCTCGTACAATAAAGGAGCCAATACTTTATCTCAAATGTTTTAATTGTTATATCTTGTAATTGTTTTATCTCCTTAGATGATAGAATTTAACTAGCTCTACAAGGATCTCCAATCATATCTAAGGATTTAGCACATAATTTAGGACTTTTCTTCACAAGCATGAGAATAGCAAAATTATTTTTTATGATCGGGTCTTCTTTTCTACAAATGATACAGATTTATTCTGCCAACTTCATCTGTCATCTCCATAATTTTATATAAATCCCACAACATGGGCATCGATGGACATTAAGGATTTTTGCAGACATATAAATGCATTAATTGCAATTTGTCTTGGCCAAGTATGAAGAAAACAACCAAGTTATGTGGATCACTATTCTATCTATCAATAAAAAAAATACTAGGTGTTAGCACCAGCATGACACTTTCAACCTCTTCTTATACCATCTCAAATCTAAGACAAAATATCCTTGGATTTTATTGAAGAATTGTTGTATTCTAAGGGTTTCAGTGTTGTATTTGTGGTTGTTGATTGATTGAGTAAATTCGTGTATTTTTCTCTATTAGTCATCTTTTCACTACTATGTATATTGCATGCATATTTCAAAAACCTTCATGGTTTTTCGTTGACCATCATCTTTGATCATGACTGTATTTTTCTCAATCAATTATGGAAAGAACTCTTTTGTTTTAAAGGCATCCTGCTTCAACACAACACAACATGTCATACACAGACTGATGGCCGATTCCAAGTCGTAAACAAATGCCTTGAAATGAATTTGTGGTGTTTTGCTTACGACCAACCTTAGCATTGGGCTCCTCATCTCTCACGTATTGAGTATTGATACAACTCAACCTTCTGTTTGTCATCCAAACTCACACCTTTTCAAATTGTCTATGGTCGTCATCTTTCTCCTTGTTTGCTTTGATTCACAACAAACTCCCATAACCTCCCTTGAACAACAGTTATAAGACCGTGATCAAACTCTTCATCAACTGAAACATCATCTCAGCATGGCCCAAAGTCATATGAAGAGTCAACATGATAAACACTGTTGAGATATCATTTAACATTTCCGGACTTCCACACTGTCGACAAGGTTGCATTGATAGGCCGCTGCTTACACGTAAGTAACTACTACAAGGCATACGTGGGAGAGCGAGAGGCAACTCCTCTCACTTCCGAACGACAATTCTTCGTCAGGTCGCTGTAGCCACAGTCCCTCGAGTCCCGTTCGCCCTAAGTTCCATTGTCTGGTAGCCGAAATACCTTTCTCTTGGGAAGAGTCTCGGACGAAGCTGGGTGATGCATTGTCACCCATTCGTCAGCCGCTACTTTGTGTGCTTACGTCTTCATCTTGTCAGTCCGCCGCCTTAATGATCTGCTGAGGTGGTTGTTGGAGCGTTGGCGGTCATGGCCCGTGAAACTGTTTGTGTGACAGACACGTTGGACATCGAGGCCGTCTGTTGGACCTCTTATTCCGGAGAACTTGGATACCTCTCGAGAACGTTACCAGATTACCTGTTTCGCTCTGTGAAGGAGAGGCGGTGAAGGGCATTATCCATCCGCCGCCGTTCTCCAGCTGCTACCATCAGTCGGCGTCGCCGCCCGTCATCCAACCGTCGTCCAGCCACCATCATCCGCCGTCCGCACAACATCAACCGTCGTCCTCATTTTGCCGCCGCCACCGATTCTATCACCAGCATCGTCCACTACCGCCGTCCACCATCCTCCAGTCGCCATCCGGCGCCGTTAACTGGCGTCCGTCCGCCGTCCTTTTATCATCCGCCGCCACCGTCGCCATCGTTCGCCGCTGCCGCCATCCGCCGCAATCTTCGCCTCCATCGCCGTCACCGTCGCCATCGTTTGGCGCTGGCGCTGCCGCCGCCGCTGCTAGGCCTTCCTCCGCCCCTCCGTCCGTTCCACCGCCGCCCGATCCGTCCTTTCCAGACGAGTTCACGTTCTCGTCTTACCGGTTAGGGTTAAATCCCATCTGTTCGTTAATCCAGAACCGTGCGGCCCGAACTGCTCATTTACACGGCCCAAATCAGCTTACCACCTGGTTCGAGCCAGCCCGCTAGCCGGCCCGAACCATCCCAGACCGCCGAGTCCGCATCAGGCCCTCCGCCGCTCCCAACCATCCCGGACCGCCGGCTCCGCATCAGACCGCCTCGCCGGTCCGAGCCATTGCAGACCATCTAGTCTGCGCCAGTCCGCCCAGTCAACAGGTGAACCTTGTCAATGGTCAATGACTCTGGTCAACTATCTACAAAGTGGGCCCCAACTTCAACCTTTCTTCCACTAGTCTCAAACTCTCTTTCTTTCTATATTCTCAGCTCTTTGCTATTTTAGTATATTATCTTACAACATTGCCGTTGAGTGATCCTAGATATGCCCACTTTCGTCTAATACCTTGTGGTGAGAAGAGTCTTCTGCTGATTGGTGCCGGCCGTTGATGGCGACCGAGGTCGGCCCGGGGAGGAGTCTACGTTAGCCCCGCCACACCGGCTCCAAGCAATGAGGAAAACGGCCCTCCATGGATTCCGACCGTGGTCGTGCGGGCGGGGCTTCTCCTCTATAAAAGGAAGCCCCCCCTCAACTCCTTGGAACTTGCTCAAAGCGCAGCAGGTATGGATAGCTGAGGTGTTGGCGTCCTCACCCTCTTCCTCTGCCTGGGCCTGGCCATCTTCCTCCTTCGGAGACCGCGACGGCTGTTGCCGCCGGGCCCACCGGCCATCCCCATCCTCGGCAGTCTCATGTTGCTTACTGTCTCCGGGGCCAACTTCGAGTCCGTCCTCCGGGACCTCTGGTCCAAGTATGGCCCCCCCTGACGATTCGCCGCGGCTCCCTCCCGATTGTCATGGTTGGCGACCGAGATCTCGCCCACGAGATCCTCGTCCGGCACGGGGCCGTCTTTGCCGATCGACCTTCCCTCTCCCCCGCTCTCCGGTTGCTCACGTCCAACCAGGGCAGTATCATTACAGCACGCTACGGGCCTCTATGGCGGGTTCTCCGCCGAAACCTCGCGACGGAGATACTCAACCCTTCGCGCGTCAGGCAGTGGGCTGATACTCGCGAGTGGGTCCTGCACGTCCTCCTCGACAAGCTCCGCCTCGCAGCGACGGCCGGGGACGGCGTTGTGGTCGTCAAGGAGACCTTCCAGTACGCCATGTTCTCCCTGCTGGTCTTCCTTTGCATCGGCGAGAAGCTGGAGGAGGCGGCCGTGAGAGAGATCGAGGCCGTGCAGAGGGATGTGGTACGCTTCTTCGGGAATTTCAGTGTCTTCGAGTTCACCCCCAAAATCACTAGATATTTATTCAGGGGGAGGTGGAACCATCTTCTCCAGCTCCGGGAGCGGCAGAGGGAGATCTTCCTCACTCTGATCAGATCTCGGCGCCAACAGAAGGAATCTGGTGTTCCTGGGGAGAACAGCTTCCGCTACTCCTACTTGGATTCCCTCCTGGACCTTGAGATCCTGGAGGAGAAGGGGAGGAAGCTAAACGACGAGGAGATCATCGCTCTCTTCTCCGAGTTCGTCACCACCGGCACCAGCACCACCACCTCGGCGCTGGAGTGGATCATGGCGAACGTCGTCAAGCACCCTATCGTGCAGGAAAGACTGGCAGAGGAAGTGGGCGCGAACACGGAGGATGACCTGCAGAAGAAACCGTACCTGAAGGCCGTTGTCCTGGAGGGGCTCCGGCGCCATCCGTCGGCTCAACTCCCCTTTCCCCCCGCCACAACGCATGAGATCTCTCTTGGCGGGTACACCATCCCTAAGGGCACCAGCGTCGGTTTCGCGGTGGTTAAGATGCACCTGGACGGGGAAATGTGGCCAGATCCGCTGGAATTCCGGCCGGAGAGGTTTCTCCCTGGCGGCGAGGGGGAGGGTGTGGACATCACCGGCAACAAGAACATCCAGATGATGCCGTTCGGCGGGGGACGGAGGATCTGCCCCGGGATGAGCCTCGCTCTGCTCCATCTGGAGTTCTTCGTGGCTAACCTGGTGGGGGAGTTCCGATGGGGAGCGGCCGGCGGCGGCGAGGTCGACCTGACGGAGAAAATCGAGGTCAGCGCGGTCATGAGGAACCCCCCTGCGCGCGCGCATCTCCTCCCGCCATTAGCAGCACCGACCGGTGCTGCCGCCGCTCGCGCATCTCCTCCTGCTGTGGAATATTAACGTAGTACTTTTTCATATTTGGACGTGTTATACATGTTACTTTGATTTCTAAGTGCACCCCCTCACACAAAACCTACTTGTGCTAGTTTGATCTTTCATAAATGACATTTGCTTTCTACTCTTTATTGAAAACAAGTGCCCAGAAAATTAGGTGGACGAAGAGGGGTGGGGTCTTAATATGGGTTTATTCAATACTTGTGCAATCTAGTTCATGTCACAAATTGTGTGGTTAAGCACTATTATCCATAAATTATATTGTCAATGGGATTATTTTATAGAGTTATGGTTAAATAATAAATCAATTTTAAAATATTTGGAAATTTAGGCTTGTCTTCTAAGGGTAAATAACAGAAAACTTGAAAAAATTATTTTAGCTATTGTTTATGTCAATTACGTACAAAACAACATATATAATCATTTTCTTGCGATGAATATATCTTGATAAAAAAAATAATAGCTAATTGAATAATAGATGTGTTAAGTACAAATGATATATTATTTTTATATTTATTTTATTTCTGCTATAATCTCTTTACTTACAATTTTTGTCACCCTACATGCGATTCATAATCTTTAACTTTATAAAATAGATTCAAAGATTAATTTTCGAAGTGGTGGTTGAATGAAGAAACATACATAGATATACACAAATTTTTCATTGTCACTGGGAAAAATAGAATTTTTTTTAACTAAATCTTTTTATGGCATAAAAATGCATTTCAATAATCAAAATGATAACCTGATTTATTTATTCTATTTCACAGCTTTCATCGTAAATATGAAAGATTTACTTATGGTAAATGATGTCTTTAGGAGCCCACTTTATTTTGATAATGACAATTTGCATTGAAGGGTATTATGGTATCCTCATAATAGCATAACTATAAACATATTGGCTTGATAACTATGATGAATTACTATGTACATTAATAAAGTTGTAAAAGATAAAATATTGATTAACCATGCATGAAATTATTAACAAAATCACTTTAAGGTAAAATTATCAATATTTATGCTTCAAATGAGTCAAATAATATTATATAAAAAGATGTCACAAACGTTGGCTCAACCACTTGTTGGGGAGGTAGTTCAAATAGCAAAACACAATAAATGAAGCATCATAATTCATATGTTTCAATTTTGAATGACGATTTATAATATTAACGACCACATGAGTTTGAATTTCAAGTTGAGCTGCAGCTGTTCAAAGTGATCCTTGGGAAGTTGATTACATCCCTATTAGTATTCCCATCTAATGGAATACTGAACGTGAATGGAAGAAAAAAACTTGAAAATCGAGTGAAAAATCTACAAGAAAAGATATCGTGCCCACAACATTTCTTAGAGTTTGTCTGATTGTTGCCTCTTTGAGCATAGAGAAACATCAAAGATCAGCTACTACTCAGGTCCTTCAGCTAAAACTTCTCCAACAAGAAATTACATGGTTGAAGCCTTTGTGAAGTTAATAGTTGAATGACAAGAATGGGTCTTCAAAAAATAGCATTGCAAGATATAGCATGATATTTAGTCAGCAACAATCTTTGGGCACCAAACGACATGCCACTTTGAGAAAAAACACAGCCATTATTCAAGCCCTCTCTCTCTCTCTCTCTCTCTCAAGAAGAGACCTTTCTTAACGCTTAGAAAGATAACAATTTTTATTAATGAAAATCCAGCGAGAGAAAGAGTACCCATCGCTAGGTGCTAAGAGAGGTCGGTGAGTGGGTGGGAGAGAGAGAGAGAGCGAGAGAGAGGTTAGGGGGGATGTTCATAGGCATCACTTGGTGGGATAAGAGGCCATTTTGTTAATCCCACAAAGGCCCTCTGGGTTGCCAGTGTTCCTCTTCATCCTGATGTAGCCCTTCTCGCCCCACTTGGACCCCCATGAGTTCTTCACAATGATGTAGTCCTGGCCTTTTGATGACCCGTACCCAACAGCCGCCACCCCGTGGTCCAGTTCTGTCCCACAGGGCCCGTCAAAGACTCCCTGTCGCCATTTGCATGCATGACAGGGAATAAAGTTAAATAATGATTTGAGAAATAAGACACCTATTTAGAAATTTCAATATTACATGTACTGATAAATTTCACCTTCATTTACAAAAAAAATGTACAATTAAAAAGGGAAATGCCACAAGATGTAGAATAGAAAGAAAAAATAAAAATAAAGAGCATTTAGCGAGAGACTTAATAAGTGAGGGTATATAGATACCATAGCACATACGTTAGACCCTGCCTAGGGGTTTTTCTGAAAAATGGTGCAATTTTCCTTTTATAGTAATTTAAAAATTGTGAAAAATTGAGTGGAAAATAGAGGCTATATTGAACAAGGAACTGCCTAGCTGTAACGATTAAAATATAAGGACAAAACTGGACGAGAGACGTCTAGGTGGACCTCCATGTAGCCGGCCAACTCTTTACTGGACAAAAATCAACCATCCCGGACATGAGGTAGGGCAGCCAGGTGTAAGACTCCATGTAGAGGGCTTGGATCAGCCTTATTAAAGCCCCAGCTTAGGCCGAGGCAGTTGAAAACCCTGACGAAGAGACTCTACTGAGTCTGATTACTGCAAGAACGAACAATCATACGAACCCCGCTGTAGAACTGGAAGTCTCTATTGGAGGCCTCAATGGCGACGCTCACGGGTTGATGCGCCAGTGCCTTCAGGAGGCTCTCCTCACTGTTAACCGGGACATCCTCATATCCATTAATGGTCACGACATCTAGCTCCTCCTGCACCCCAAAGTGAAAAAGGACGAGTTTTGAGTGAGGAGAGAGAGAGAGAGAGAGAGAGAGAGAGAGAGAGAGAGAGAGAGAGAGAGAGAGAGAGAGAGAGAGAGAGAGAGAGAGAGAGAGAGAGAGAGAATTACTCTCTTTTCATCGCAGGTACCCTCCTCCATGAGGTAAGGGTAGTCGTCCTCGGTGTGGAGGCCGCCATTGGAGACGATGAAGGAGAAGGCGTTGTCCATGAGGCCACCGCTGCATCCGCTGTTGAGCGAGTCACAATCAACGAGCTCCTGCTCCGATAGCGTCGTCAAGTTCCCGGTAACGATCTGGTTAATTCCCTCCACAGCGGCCACCGTGGAGAAAGCCCAGCAGCTGCCTGAGCACCCATAATCACCAACCATTAAGATCTTCCTGTTATTTTAAGTTAGTAATATAAAATAACAGGAGAAAACCTACGTTTAATGATCTTGCACTATTTATTAACTCTACTGAAACTTGGTTCTAATTGAACTAAGCCTGTGAAATCGTTCGAACTCTTACCGCATGCGCCCTGGTTTTTCACACGAGTGACAGCCCCCTTCTTTCTCCAGTCCACTGCCTTGGGCAGGGACTGAACGGCAGCATACCGGAAGGATCCCTCGCCGGAGGAGGAGGCCCTCCTCTCCCTCGCCGCATTGACCTTCACCCCGAGGTACATGGCCTTGAACTCGTCGTGACTCAGGTCGGCAAATTCGTTGAGCCCCAGCCAGTAACTCGCCCTCCTCCTATTGGTCTGGTCAATATGGAGCAGGTTTCCCTTGAACACCTGGAACCTCCGCAGCTTCTCCTCCAAGCTCTCGTAGACCCGGCCGTGTTTAGACATCCATGACTCGAAAAGCTCGAGCAGTCTGTCATGGGAGGCGAGGTCCTCCTCCGAATAGCCGACGATGGAGAAGTCCTTGAGGAGGGAAGCTGACCCTGCGGCGAGGCACACGGCGAGGAGGACAAGGGAGAGCTTGAAGGAGGAGGCCATGGGAGGCTTGGGAGGAAGACGATATGAGGGCTGAAGAGGGGTGAGGGACGTTCTTCACGCATGGTTTATATAGATATACAGGGTTACTGTCAGAGCTTTGCTTGGAAGGAATGGGTTATGAGACTTGAAACTGGGTTCATCATGGAGGCTTTTATCTCAAGCATGCCCAGTATTTTAATGACGGATCGGCGGTGGTATAAATGGGTTCTTTATGTTAACCTTCTGGCTGTTACTTCACGCTAGGGTTCATATTTTCTAATAATTCATGGCACATGCGGCCTAAATATTTCACGTGATTCATTCACATGTAAGTATTAGATATTTTTTTAAAAAAACTGTTTTTTTATTTTCGCAAAAATGTATCGTTGATGGATATTATATATTACATTTGAAATCGAGTATAATTATCATGCATGTTTTTCTGATACAAATTTCTTCAATTTCCTATGCTATTAATTATATTTCTATTTTTTTGATAGTACTGATTTGTCACTTTGACATTATTATGACATCTATTGGTGACTGAGAATAATCCGTCTTGATGCTTCACGATCATTCCTGTGGCATCCCATCTCTCTCTCTCTCTCTCGCTATAAAATTGATAAATATCACAAAGAATGGATTGGTAAATATCACAAAGCAAAGGTTTAGCAGGGCACAACCCAGTCTGACCACGTTCGCTGGCAGTCCTCGAGTCAACGATCATCTCTCTAAAGGTTCTTCATCATAATTTATTCCCAATTTTTCGACAGCCATGCGATTCCACATGAAGTCATGTTAACCAGGAACTCTGTTCTTCAGCTTTTAAGGAAAACTAATACAATGCTTGCTTGTACGAACCACGGGATTTGATCTGACCGAGCTCTTGATATACTTCAAGATGACCCGACCCTTCATATGCATCAAACTGAGATCGAAATCAATCGCGTGGATCGATTGATCGAGAGAGAGAGAGAGAGAGAGAGAGAGAGAGAGGCTGTGTCGTTTCTACTCATTTAGATCTATATATCAAAATACAAACTAGTTAGTAGGATCAATGAAATAGGGAAGCCCCGAGTTGGGCCTCCCGGTAGTCTTTTCATGCTCAACCTTTGCTGTAAATAGAGTCAGCTCTGCTTCCGTAGAGTTTGACCGATGGCCCGACACCACCTGACCTCAGAGATCCAACAATCTCCATTTACTGGGTTTTTTCTCGGGCTTTATCAGGGCCCGGGCCATGTTGAAATCGTTCGGACCCAGGGCCGGGTCGGCCCCCTCGGCACCCCACTTGCAGGATTATCTATACGAAAAGCCAAGTCCTTTAGATTTTGTTTCATAGTAGGATTTGAGGCGTCTTTTCAAGGCCATTTTGATCCCTCTTTCTGCTGGCGTGATCCACTCAGACCAATTGTACTCGATCCGAATTTCTATTTACTTTTTTCTGTACATAAATAGTCAGAGGCCACGTCGCGCCGAACATTATCCCACCCGGAACAATTGTCGAAACCTGTTTCCTCAAAAGATGACGCAGAACTTTATGAGGACTTTTTCAGAAATAATGATATCTACCCGGGAATTCTGGACCGTCGGATCGGCATCTACAAGCCCACGGCACTCTTTTCGTTCAGCTGCTTGTCCACCATGCAGAGTTTACGTGCACGTGGAGACCCATAAATCCATCCTCTGCGATGGCGTTTTGTCTTCCTTTCTCATCTCTCTCTCTCTCTCTCTCTCTCCCTCCCTCCCTCCCTTCCTCCCTTCTTCCCTGCCGTGTGAGGTCGCCGGAATTCCCGTTAATGCGAACGAATAACCCCGTCAACCTAATGTGGGATGGTCTATATTGGGCGGAGAGCAGGAAAAGGGCATGTTCTGTAATCTCGGCTGTACAGGAGGGGGCGAGGGTGATGGTGAGAGTTTTAATTGATCATCCGCTGCGAGAACCCTGGATCGGGAAGAACCCTAACCTGTTTGAGGCGTTACGGATTCGTATGGTAGGTGTTTATTCGAAATGGATAGAATCGATGCGGTATATATAAACGTGGTTACGATATCTACCGGTTAATAATGAACAATTTCTTGAAAAAAAACAGACTTTGAGAGAGAGAGAGAGAGAGAGAGAGAGAGAGATCCAACTTCCGTGAATGCCCTCAAGAAAGTAGGAAACCGGCAACGTGTCCTCGTTCACGAGGGCCATTGCGGTATAAAACGCCCCATCCCCGCAATCCCTCGCGCTCATCAGTCAGTCGCTCTCTCTCTGCCCCCCCTCTCCCCCCTTCTTCTCCCTCTCTAAGTCAATGCCATGGTCAGGGCGAGGATTACCCGCGCCTGTATCACCACTGACCATGGGGAGGACGACGGCTCGGGGGACGGGACCCCCCAGCTGATTAAGATCTGCTTTCACTGCGACAGCTACCTCTGCCACTGCCATGCGCAGACACCTACCCTAGACAGGAAGTTCAAGAGGAAGGCCCCTGAGTCCGTTGGGTCGTTGCGGCTTCGGTTTGCCCTCCCATCGCCGCCGCTGCCCGCCGTCTTCGAGGGCTCTTCTGTCATCCGCTTTGAAAATTTTTACAAGGACGGCAGCTGGTTGAGTGTCGTCCTCCCCAAGTACATGCTTCTACCCGTGGAGGACCTCCATGGGCCTGTGCGCTCCGGAGGACGGTGGACTCTCCCTCTGTTCGATACTCCGCCGCCTACCTCGAGCAACGAGAGAGTCTGCAACGCCATTGACCGCAACAAGGATGGTATTGATTATACTGGTTTCCATGGGTCTCGCCAGGATTTAGATCTGAAGCTCTAAGAAAAATATGAGTAGACGTCTGTTTCTCCTCCTGATCTGTCAATGTTGAGTTATCATGTCCCTTTCATGTCATGGTTTAGTTTAATATTAAGGTATATGCTTTGTAAAACTTTCTTCTGCGAAGAGATTGGCCTCGATTTTTCTCTGTTCCTGATCCGATTGATTTCTTCATCAAGAAGTGAGAAACATCTGCGATGCGCCCCCACCCCCCCGTTTTGTAATGCTTGCCGTGATGATCGGTATCCCTTCGTTGCAGAGATCTTGTTCCTTCGTGGGATAACGCTTCAGCTTTTTCTGGATTGGAACGCAATTAATCGTCATCTTCCCTCCCTCCCTGTCTCTCTCCCCCCACCCCCGTTCTCTTACTTTCTACTGGAACAAGTATCCTCCGATTCATGTCATTCACCACAAATGTCGTATGATCTTGTAAATTATCATGGGGTTTCACACCCCCTAGATCATATGTTCATGTACACTCCGATTTAAGTCCGGTACATTCTCAATTGGAAAGTGTTGTAAGCATCACGTATAAACTGAGATGAAGATCATTCGGACATTTTCCAGTTTGACCATTGGATTATAGAGATCGAATGATACTTTGCCTAATAGAGTAATCCAAGTGACATCCAATTTCTTAACCACATGCAAGAAATATTAAATTTATTATGCAAAAGGGTGCACCATGATTTTTAATTTGACAACATGCCTTACCCTTTCATGTAAATATCAGATTTGATCACCAAAAATTTAACATGCAACATCTCTGCGTGTGAAGGCTTGAATACCACAGGCTGTTCACGTTCCGGATATTCCTGAATTGGAACACCCCTTTCTCTCCGATGACGAGCGGAGGGTAGAACTCTCTCGCCGATTAGCCTTTTATTTTAAAGGACGGGATTCTCGAGTAAGGGATTTCTTGGAGATACTAGAATTACAAATACTTTAGCCACCTCACTTAGTGTACCTTCCCTAGACCGGCCTTTCTTTCCTTCCCCCTCTACTCTAAGGCTCATTCGCTCGGATGTGGTCGAATTCTCATTCTAAGGTCTCATCCTTTAAGCATTCGCCAGGCCCGAAAATCGACACAGACTCTCATGCCGTTTTTATTAATAACTGTTACTAGATTTGACACCCATTCGCTTGATCGGCTTGCAAAATCCACCTTTCAGCAGCCGCTCGATCTCCTCCTCCACTTTAGCAGTCAGCTCTGGGGTCATCCTTCTGACATGTTGGTTCCTATTTCAGTCAAGCAGTCAGTCAGTTGAAGGAGACTGGTTTATTGGCTTTTGCTTTGCATCTGCTGGTTTTTTAGTTGCAAACCTAGCTTTCTAACTCTCAACAGTTCTATCTGATTGAACTTTGGGGAATACGCCGTGGATTGAAATTCGCTGGGCCAGGTGAAGACGAGAAAGGTCTTCTTCCGTCGCAGTGGGCTATGACGGAATCAGGAAAGTCGAAAAAATGAGAAAAAAGATAATTCCTACTATTCTTTCTAAGTGACTCGCCTTAGCAGGATAGTTTTTTAACAAAAGCTTCTCCATCTTCGTGTTCTATATTAAACATACATTTGCAACATCCATGTGTGATACAACTGATTGTTTCCAAGGATTATACGACAGACGTTAGGGTTACGACATCTATGTGCACGAATACATGACAGTCTGTTGACACTTCCTGAAAGGTATCATCTTTGGATTATTCATGTGTGCCGCCAAAAACATGAGATTTAGAGTATCTAGGTCGTTATGAAGATATGAACATTGCTCATCTTAGAACTACTTGGAAACGTGTAGAATGTAAACTGTGTGAAGATGCAGCATATCAACTTTTTTCATTCAAGTGAAATTAGATATTTTAGTGACTCGTTGAAGTATGACCTCTAAGAATTCATGATCTTACTTAAAACACCCCAAAATTAGATAATTCAATTTTATGAAATCAGAAGTCGCTAGATATACTACAAGCTTAGGTATAAGAATTCAGGAAAGAACTCAATTCTTACTTAAGTTTAAGACGATCATTGTTTTCCTAGTGTAGTAAAATAACATTTTTTTAAGAAGTGAGAGCTTGAAATAAAATAAGGTGTGAGATTCTCTCTCTCTCTCTCTCTCTCTCTCTCTCTCTCTCTCTCTCTCTCTCTCTCTCTCTCTCTCTCTCTCTATCTATATATCTATCTATCTATCTATCTGTCTGTCTGTCTGTCTGTCTGTCTGTCTATCTATCTATCTCTATCTCTATCTATCTATCTATCTATCTATCTATCTGCATATCTATCTTTCTGCCTATTTATCTATCTATCTATCTATCTATCTATCTAGCTAGCTAGCTAGCTATCTATCTATCCGTCTATATGTCCCCTTCTCTCTCTCTCTCTCTCTCTCTCACTCTCTCTCTCGTTACACTATTGACACCTATAAAAAAAATGCAAAAACTACAATCCGTTCTCCTCATCTCCCTTAACATCTGCCATGTCCTTCATATCGTCGATATCCTTGTCCAATGAATTTTCCTAGATCTGTAAAGGTCTTTATTTTTATCGCCACCAACAGTCTGCATAGACCACCAACAGATGCCTCCCATTTGCATAACCTTTTATCCTATATAAAAGCTCCTGTCATCTCCCCTAATGTGAAGAACCTCTCGTTCATGCCGAGCCAAAGTAATTTTCGCTGACTGTGGAGAGTTCAGGTTTTCTCTTACAGAAACGATTGTTTATGAAGGCGTATCCCCTTAACCTGGAGCTTCTCTCTCTCTGTCTCTCTCTGAAGAGAATCAAAGACAAGGTACATCCGTAGTTGGCAGATCTCTTCATTTCAGTTCCCCCTTTAAAGTTGCTTAACTCACAAGGACCCCACTGTTGTCTTGGAGGCCTTCGTCGTCTGTATCTTCTTTTCTCCATGCCGAGGTGTTCGATAGGCGTTTGGTGGCGTCAGACGTTGCGGCGGGGCGATAGAGTGAGTTGGGGGAGGCCCCGGACCGCGGCTGGCTCCGTGGGTGTCACCAGCTGTCGGCACCCAGACAACAATCAGAGCACATGGATATATACATAAGTGCGATTCTATATGAAGAAGATTTTTTCCCGCAGGATCAACGATGAAGGAGAATACATCTCATGTGATGTCATGTTTAATGATAACATGTCGGCAAGGCTAGAAACCTTATCTAGATCCGATGTCGTTATGGAACTTCATAGATCATTAGTTTATAGCTCATTCAATGACTCATTTATAATGGTGAAAAAGAAAAAGGATTTCATCCTGTAGTTTATATCAAATAGGCCCCCAATTTTTTTCTAACTTGATCGTTTTGATCTTTACAAGGATGCTAACAATAAAATACAAGAAATTATACACTAAAAAATAATTATCAAGCTTCAATTTAATAATTATTTATTGAGAGTGGTCAACATTCATACAAATAGCTGCAGTGATAAAAAAGGAAAAAGCCTAAATGATATTATATGTTTTATTTGTATTTTCATAATTTTTTGATTTAAACATGTAAATACGCATTGGAAATTGATATACATTGTCACATGAACTGTTTATAAATAATATATCTTATGTAATTACTTAATTCCAATTAAATGTAATTAGTTTTCTTGCATCTTTACATGAAATCATTTTACAAAGAGTTTTACAAGTTTGGTGAGAAAATGTGGTTTAGTTATATCAAAGCTTACATCTTAATTTTGTGGTATAGCAGGAAGAGAGAGTTGCAACACAACTAAAGTCTAAAACACTTGGAAGATGATGAATGTGATGGCCTTAGAAGCCCTACATATTTTGATGATGATCATAACATATGGAAGAATAGTCTGATAAAGTCTATGATTTTAGAATTAAATATTTTGATGGGCGTATTAATTGTTATTGAAAAAAGTCTTAAATTATGTAATGTTAATACTAAGGGTAAAATGATAATTTTATATTACTGTTAAATTGAATATTATCATGACCCATGAAATGCATAAGATGATTGCTTATGCTCTAAATTGATTTGTGTTAACATGATGATAAATAAGAGGAGGACCATTGGGCAAGGTACAAAATTATACGAACAGAACTATTTGTTGGGGATGCCATAAAAAAATCATGAAAAACAAAGTATAAGTGAAGAGTATATAAGGAAACACTCTCCTAAGGCCAAGGGCTGAAGTACATATAGTGGATCAATGGAAAATCAAGACCAAGGGCTGAAGTACATGGAGCAATCATGAGCACAAAATGAGATCTTCATTGTGATGCTTCCTAATAACAAATCAGAGAGATTTAGGCCTCAAGAAGTTTTGGAGTTGAACAGCAAGAAAAATTACACATTCTACTTTTGTATTTAGAGTGTGTTTACCTCAAGACACATTTACAGTCTTAATATATAGATGATTAACAAGTATTAATATTTTTTCACCTTATAGAGTGGTGAATCTAGGAGAGTATTCTTAGATAGAATCTAGAGTTGGCTAGAGGTGTTAAATTTAGTGAAGGTGACTAAAGCATGTAAATTAGTGTGTTTCACCAAGAATTTACTGGAACCCTAGGAAAGTACCTAGAGAGTATTATTGTTGAATGATTCATATCATGTTACCGTTGTATGTCCCTTTTGTTTGGTGTTAGTTCCAAGGGGTGAATTACTTTACACACTAAGTTCACACAAACTAAGTTTTTAGTTTGTTTTTGTTAGTTCTGTATTAACATATAGGTTTGGTTAACATACTACCTTCACACAAACTAGTTAACTTGATTATTTTGACACATTAAGTTGACACAAGAGTAAAAAGGTTAAATGATTGCTCAAATTTACAGTGACTCAACCTTCATTGACCTACACGTACTTATCAACGATTACTACACATACTTTCTACTATACTCCCTCAGAGAGTTATAGTTAATATTCACAAGATTAGTAGATCACTTCATATGATTTAACTAACCTATCTCCCCACATTACACCAATTCACTAGCTTGTCTTTCTCTCTCTTAGTATCATTATTTTCTAGAGTACCTTCAGAGTAGAAGGATAATTAAAAACTTATAAACCAATCATGATATTTAATTTGGGCTTTCTTGTTTTTATGGGTGACTCAATGTTTGAAGCTTTGACAAGGTTACTCTTACGTTAGAACTCTAAAGAGAGGTTTCAGCTAGTAAGCAAAAGCATGTATTAACAAGCACAACTCATTTTACCAATTTCCATCTAGAATATAAAGATTTGATCCATTCTTGAGTTTCTATTTGAAAGATCATTATACAGATTATTTATAAAGTCCAAAAAGTTGACTATTTGAATTTAAATATATGAGATTTGATCAGCCAGATTGAATAGATTGACATTTAGGTAGACGTATTGAATAATGTGCATAGGGGTTCTGTATTTAACTAACTTTGACCAGTTCACAACATATAAGTGTTAGATTGTTCAAATTTTCTTTGATATTTTAAGTGTTAAAATATCAAAATTTTCGCTCTCCAAATTTTTTACTTGAGTTTGTTAAGGTCACAACATAATTTCTCTTTCTACCTTAGTTGTGAAGACACTTTTTCTTTCTTCAATTTTTCTTTTGGATTTTTTTTTTGTTCTGATTTTGACATTTTTAATATATATCTTCCATGATGATTCTTTTCACTATAATGGGCTTTTTGGCACAATGGACTAGATCTAATGATTTAAATCCTCATCTGAAAATTAGTGCAGTAATAACATGTTTATAAACAGTTCTTAATTTTAATTCTTATGACTATGTTTCAACATCAATATCTTTAAAGCAAAAAAATTGTATTCATGACATGTAATATCTTTAATGGGATTCATATCGTATCATCCCTCATACGTGTATTGTGCTAATGACATTCATGTACTATCTTAACATCATTTATATATCACATTGTCGGTGATCATGATGTAGTTCATTACCACCTTTCATATACTATCATTAAAATGCATACATATTATTATTCTCATTCGTGGCATATATTTAATTGTCTATTTGCATATGCTGCGTGTTATCCATATTTACATCAGTGATTACTTTCAGATAATCAATCAGTTCATCAGTTTTTGGGCTTTGGCCCACTAAAAAACTTACTACGTTACTATCTCTGCTCCACTGAGCCGATGGCTCAAGCCCACCAGGGAACCCACTGTGCTGTCAAATCTTGAGTGCAAATTAACGGTGTTGTTACATCAGCCTTCAATCGGTGTACAACTATAAGTAGAAATAGAACATAAAATCACGACAATAATGATTTCATATCTTGATATCTTCTCATCGATACTTGAGAAGTAGTATATACCTTTGAATTGTGCACCCAATCACAATAGCAGAAGAAAGAAAAGTTTCTTAAATGACAGGGAGAGATGACAAATTGGACTTCTTCTCGGTAACAGCACTACATGGGATCCTACTTCACCAAAGATCAACCATCCAAACCCTTCCCGTTGACTTTCTGCACAGTATTAAAACCCATTGGGGGCTCCAACTATATGGGGTACCAACAGTCATTAGTCTCCACAGTACAAGCCTGCAGTGGAATCATTCTTTTAGAAAGGATCATTTGGGTACTGTCCAGTGGGTTTGTTCATCTCTGGAGAAGAATAGTTACGAGAAGGGAGGCAACTGATGATGTCCTCAGAATGATACATAGCGCTTTATTGATCGCCATGATAGGTATTGCTCACTATAAAATAAAAGTGGTGTGAGGCCATCCGAAGACGGAGAATTTCTCTCCTATCAAGGCTCTCCCTTTATTCTGACCCGGAGGCAGGGCTTTAACTACTATATCAAGCAGCCTTCTTGCAGAAGCTTTCGACCCAATCCATAGTCACACTCTTGGGTCGTTCAAGTGGCAGCCCGAGAGCCCGGTCCCATATCAGCTGCACAGTGAGAGAGCGTAAGCGAGAGAGAGAGAGAGAGAGAGAGAGCTCAAGGATTCACGAAAAGGAAGAAAGGTGATGATGGGCCTTTCTTCAGATGATATCAAACTGAGTAGGCCAAAGAAGGGGACAGAACCTGGGAGCAGATCCCTATGCTTCTCGAGACGCCAAAGAGGACGGTGAAATACCTGCATTCAGCACCAGATTTTTATTACCAAAATACTAGCTTGATCGTGTGAACATGATTATGTGATAATTATAGTTGTAGAACGGGCATTCCTCATGAGAGGGAGAGGTCAATCATCCAGTTTAAGCTAAGGCAAGTCAACAATTATACTTCGATTGGAAAGGCTTTGCCATAATTACTGCCATTTCCATTAGCAATGCACATGGAAACATAATCATACAGTAATTATAATTACAAGTGGGCATCCTTCAAGAGTGGGAGAAGTTAATCGTCCTGTTTAAACCGAAGCAAATCGACAATCAATGGGAAGGATTACGGCGAATGATTCTTGCAACCGCTCACCTCGCTTCAGACAAGCCAAAGTAATTCAATAAGACTCCGCTGTGAGCATCAACATTTGGCCAAGGGTTCTTAACCTGTAGTTTGAGAGATTTAGCAGAAAAGTTAGGACGGTAAATCTTTCTGAAAAATACCCATCTTGTTCATGAGACAAGACCTGTATCTACAGTAGACAGAGTCTGATTACTAGTAAATGTGATATCTCCAGATTTGGAATAATTGGTGGCTAACAGATGAAGCTTTGAGGTAATCACATGTATAAACCAAGTTTCATCCAGTAACATAATAGTTTCAAATCTTAAAATAAATAAGCAAAAGTATAATGTCATCAGACAGTTTGAGCCTTCCCATGAGCCGCCCATCAAATTTCGGCTTTTTTTATAGCAGAAAAATTTTCACCTTTGAAGAAGGTGGAAGGTCATCTTGACACGTTAGGGAAGGTTGATCATTATCTTAATAATATAAAATAATTCAATGAAAAAAAGGGCATAAATAGCCATACCTTGCCGAGCTGAGTGAGTATTGGGGGGACTACCTCATAAAGCTTTGAAACCTGTAACGCGAAAGTCTTTATCAGTATAACCAACAAATCAATTTTCCCAGACAATTTGGTAATCTTGAACCTGCTGAGGAAGGGAAATACGAATTCAAAATAAACTGTTTTTTCAACCACATAAAAGTATATTACCAGCTGGAAAAGTGGGTCATCAGGTAAGTACTTCAGTGCAAAGTCCCTTTGGCATACATATCTTGGATCTGTTTGACGCAGAACACCATGACCATAACCAGGAACAACCTGGATAACGTTTTTGAAGCTTTAGATGAACATAAGGAGTTCAAAAATATGGTAGGGAGGAAACATGCAAAAAGGGAGAGACAAAGCATTATACTGAAACATTTTGATGAATCTCACATTTCCAAATGCCCTCCAAGCAAAGAGCTTAGGACAATGCATAAACTAGCTAACCACACTGACTGAGCCAGTTTTATCAGGTACTTTAGCTTCATCACAAATCCAAACATCTGCAAGGAATCTCTGAGGATAGTTTGGGCAAAAAAATTTGCTCAGCATCCCTAAGGATCTCTTCGTTAGGATATTTGTACTAACGTCTTTGTAACGTTTCATTGTATTTCTGTTCTTTTCATATTTGTGTAAATCCTACAAAGTAAATAAATTTCACGCATTGACCCAACTTTCCAGAAATCACATAAAACGTTACAAAGACTGGCGTATCATCTCACAGCTTTTCAGTAAACCAAGAAATTTCAGGCACAAGGCCGAGTCAGTAAAATCCATCATGAACAATAGTGAATTATAAGAGCAAAAAGAAGAATCTACATTCATATCCATCGAGTTTAGATACGCATTCTGCTACAGAAACGTGCACTAAAATAAACCGGGTCTAAAACAATGAACTCCTTAAATGCATGGTGAACTATTTTTTAATGGGAATCAATTGCCCAAATCTACGCATAAGCGTTCTTACCTTGCCACTATTTAATGTCTTCCAGACATATTCCTTCAGTTGCTCAGTTGTTATGTTCTCCCCACATTCTTCTACCACAGATTTGATCCACAACAAGACCTCCTGTAGCCATAAGATGGGATAAAAAAAATGTTATAAAAAGACTCTGGCTCTCAGAGGCAAAAGCAGTTGATTTATAGCCATGAAGAAACGCAATATATCCAGAATTAAAAATGGGAACTAAATAGTATAGTTTGAGTTCAAACAATCCAAATTGTTCTGTGTTAACCATGTACGAATAGATTTAATTATTGACAAGTGGTACCATTCTCTTCTTCAGAGAAATCAAAAGTGTAATTGGAATACATAAAGAGAGCCTGATCTATAAACCAGGGGGAGACCAGGATGAGTATTATCACCGAAGAAGTTAACACTGAACAAGTTGACCTCACTCGGGTTGATCAATGAACATTTTAACTTTAGATACGGGAGAAAGGGTAGCCAGAATAGAAGAGAAGCTCCCCACGAAAAATAATGATCCTAATCCTGTTCACTTCTCATTCGTCCAACCAATCTAAGAATGGCACAGGATGGTGTTGAACTTAGATTGATAAACTCTGGAAGCCCAACTCCAGCGTGATTGTGTTTTATGCCACCTTCAACAAGGAACTTTATAAGATTTTTGACAGCACATCTTCACGTCTTACTTAAACGAGGTCCTGGTGGTGATGGATCTTTCTAACCAAACCTATCTTCATCGCAATATTTCAACCCATAAAATTAGTCACATTCCCGAGAACCATTAAAAATCTGGAATAGCCCCAAAAGATGGTTCTCAATGCTGACGGTAATGACAATGGAAAATTCAGATGAATTGTAGTTTTAGTGGATAATTTATATGTTGATGCAAACATTGTAAAAGAAAAATTGGAGAAAAAAAATGGCTATATTATTTACCTGATTGGCCAATCCATGAAGCGGGCCAGCTAAACCATTTAATGCAGCTGCAAATGAAAGATAGGGATCTGAAAGTGCACTAGCAACCTGCAGGTTGAGCGCATATTCTACTGTCAGCGCAAGTGGGAAATACCCACCTCGTTAAGTAAGCAATGAGAGAACACAGATTCTGCAACAATACATGCTGGACATAATTCTTTAGAATGAAAAATGTATGGGGGGATGCATCTTTCCTCCATCCATTACATATTATATTAGTAGTATGTAATGAACATCAAGGAATATGCCACAAAAACAATCTCTCAGCAATAAAACAAGGCTGATACTTACCAGATGTGCGGTATGAGCACTAACATTACCCCCTTCATGATCGCTGTTCATAAATGTAATTATAAAGAGTGGTTAGTTATGTCATTTGCATGCAGAACTCAAAAATATGGGAAAGAAAAAAGGAAAATAGAACTGACAAGGAAAAGTACACCATGAACAGGAAAGCTATATGAATACCTGTGGATAGTGACATATAGTCTCATTAGCTCCAGCATTTCGGGATCATCAAAGCCAAGCATGTGGGAGAAGTTTCCACCATAATCCAAAGATTCATCCGAAGGTATGATTTGCCCATTTTTGTATATTCTTCAAGCAAGGAAATTAAGTTAACATACTGAAAGTTCCCCTAAACAAAGTTCGGGATAATATTAAATTTGAAAGCTTTAGAGACATTTCAGTTGATTTAGACAGAAAATAAGGAAAAACAGACGGAATTTTCAGGTGAGAGTTCTATATCTCTCCCATGAATCGTTGGTTGACAATGATACCAGGCAATAAAATAATTAAAATGGATGTACCGTAGACCACTTCATGTAAAAGGAAATTTAACTGACAACATGTAAAACGAATTTTTACCTTCTATACACATATGCAGCCACAACAGGAACTTGCGCAATCAGGTTCAGAGAGTCCTCAAAGGTAGGCTCCCAATACCTGAAAGCAATTAAGGTTTCTGTGATACGAAATATCGCGTGAACTCCAATATGTTTGTTTTAAGTGTGAGGATGAAGTTTAGCTCGTGTAATAGAGTTAAAACTCACTTCGCCTTTGATATTCCCTTCTCATATGCCTTCTGAAATTCACTTTGAACCTGATATAAAGTCCAAATAGGCAACTATTATCAGCATCCCAGTTTATCCTGAGAATCAAGGGATCACCGAAAGGCATGTTTGCTACTAATAACGCAATATCAATGGCTCGATGAATTGAGTTTACAAAAATATACACTAGATGAACTTCACACTAAACTGTAATATTTTAGGCCTGGGCTGTATGGATCATGATGAGAAACTGGGGTTGACCCTTGCCCAATTGATAAACAGAGCATGCCTGCATCAGGAGAACGCTGACTACACTTTTTTTTTAAATGATATCTTCCTTCAGAAGCTCTGAGATTCCTCTGTTCATAATATCCCCGAAGAACACTCCACAAACTGGTTTGTTCCCTACCCTTCCTACCTCTAGAGCTTCTTTGCATATAGATATCAAACCCCAAGATGCATAGGTTCTCACTCTCAAGAGTGAGAAGACGGGGGAATCATTGTCTTTTACCTCTTTGGAAAGGAGCGAAGATGTGATCACTCCAAGGAATTGAGTGATCTGACAACTGACATCTTCCTTGGATAATTTGCCAACTCTTCTGTTTTGGAAAGCATTTCTAGCAGAGGAAGTTGAATAGAGAAAAAATTAGGAGCAACTTTTCCATGGTAGAAAAATAGTGCTAGTTGGAGATATCAAAAAGTCCCTTGATCAGTGCCAATCCTTCGCTCCTAAAAGAGTGCATCATTCCTACATCACTAATTGAAAGTTCGCAAGAAATTCTACCCCAGATGCGCCATGGCAGCATCACACTCCAACCATTCTAAACGGTGACCTTAAAGAGAGAAGGAAAGGCTCACATGACCAACACAAGGAGCAAAAGTAAAATCAAGAAGAGAAGGAAAACATTAATTATAGGTGATTCTAAAGGATCAGAACCTGCTTCTCAGTGGGGAGTGGACCAGCCATTTTATGCAGGATAGGAAAAGGAAAGGCCTCCACTGAGAAAAGATGCACCAGCCAAAGCCTAATGAATATGTGATATTTTTGACTGGTTACATACAAATCCAACAATTGTTTACCAGCTAGGAACAAAAACTGGCGTCTTTGATTGATTAAATAGGATTATCAATGTTTCTAATGGGAAATTAAAAAAACTGACAATGGCCTGTCTTGCATGTGTATTGGCATGTCTTACTATGCCAGAAAAAACAGAACTACTGTTTTTAGACATGTCTTGCAATACTCAACATTAGCATGTTAAAAAAATAGAATATTATTTAAAATTAGCCTGTTTAGACTAGTTCACCATTTAACCAGGAAAGATTGGCATACCACTGAATTACTGTACTCCCATGAGTGTTTTGATTCACAAGTATAAAACTCTGGATATCTCCCAACAAAGTACGGAAATGGAGTATCACACCACTTTTACTAGATGAATATTATCATAAAGCTCACAATCAGAAAACAACAACATTTGACAATAAAAAAAACAACCATATGCAAACAAAAAAGACTACAAAAATAGCTCAGCATATTTAATAATCTTAAAAAAATGGCACTCTCCCAAGAGTTGGAGATATAGGATGTAACTCAACAAAAAAATCAGCGTAAAAGCTGTATAAATAAATGATAGACATATTGATTGTGCATTTTCAGCTTAATAGTCAGTCACAAGAATATTTGATAAGTCACTAAAAGTGCAGTAGAAAATGCTACTAAAAAATTACTAGAAATATCATAAAAAAATATCATTATCAACCTGAAGTGCCATAATGCCAGACGCGAATTGTGTCATTGGATGAGATGTTATAGGAAGTGCATCAATAGCCTTGTATACATACTCTGCCAACACACTGAAAGGATTAATTTTCTGGGGTATTTACGCTTAGATGCATGCAGTGTTGAAGGACAACAAAGTAAATCACCAAAATCAAAGTAAACACGCAAATATCTAGCCTCAATGCATGATTTGGATCAAAAGCTATTCGTCATAATTGAATTCAGAAGTGAGGCAAAACACACAATGGGGAACCAGCGGAGAAGCTAAAGTGTCAAATGAATTAGAAAAGTTATCTACTAAATCTTAACCAATGCCAATTACAAGGCATGCGGTCCAGGGTATGAAAAGGGAAGACCGACCAGGATTCGTGTTACCAATGTTCAGACATGCAACACAAATAAGGAACTGAAGCTCCCTGAGAAGCTTAGAATCAAACAGAGAACGAACCGGATACTAAAGTAATGGGAGCAGAGTCACAGATCCTAAGTGAAAAAAAAGGCAGCTCCTCCCAGTCACTACCCGCTCAGCACAGCCAGCAGGTTGGAACAAATTTAAGGACATTGGGAAATAGCAAATAAAGCTAAATTAGTCATTTGGTCATCTGTAACTATTGAACATGACGTGAACTTGATCATGAACCTTACAAAGGTAACCGTAGACCCTCATTCAAGTACTAGGCTTCCCAGTCAACTGAAGCTTAAAAAATCGTTAATCATGCTGAAAGCTTCTGGCCACAAATCCAAACCCAAAACCAACTCTAGCAGCATCATTTATGTAACCAGAAGAAAAGTTATACATATCACAACAAACTCTAAACCTTGTCAGTAAAAATTAAAATTACAAAGGGTTATACTTAAACCTTGTTTCTTGGAGTAGCTATTAGGTGTTTGGTTTTGCCCATTATGTACATTCCCTATCCATACTTTTCCTTGAAACCATTCACATTTCGGAATCGCAAGACACGCATATAAGTCAACACCACCGATTCAAGGCATGATTAATGATCCTCAGCAAGAAATCAGCATGCTTGAATAGTGAAAATCAAGTTAAAGGCAACAGCTAATGTGTTATAGCAAACTTCCATATAACTTCGGCAAAAAAAGTGATCATACAGAGCATATGAACTGGTCAAAAGGTAGTAAACGATAAAACCTGGAACTGAAGAGCGTGACTGCAATTCCTTGGATAAAGAATCAACTTGGTCCTTATTTGGTATCTACAGTAGGTAAAACAATCAAGAATGAACAAAGAGGCGCCAAGTGAGAAACGTAATTCCAAGAAAAAATAACAACTCTATATATTCAAAAAGCAGATCGAACACAGAGCCCTAAGAAGTATTTCGTGTGTAGAAAAGAACATACGCTTTGGCACAAAAACGATTTTTCCTGCATATCTGACATTTTCCCTCAATTATTCCTTTTTTTTTTTCTTGAGAGTAATCAAGGAGCAAATACGGTATCTTCATATAACTAACATCATTACCCCATGATTAATAAAATTTAATGGCATGAACGCTATTCAATAATTCGCCAACATCATAAATCACATTATTCCTTCACAGCCAGCATCCATATAAAATCAATCTTCCCATTCTCCTGGTCATTGTCTTGCCAAAAAGACAACCGGTTTCTCAGCTTTTATGTGACTTTTTTTTCATTCTTTTTATTTGTATATATTTATTTATAGTACTTATATTATTTATATTGTCCTATTATATTTTTCTTTTATTTATATATTGTCCTCTCCCTTACGGGAGAAATTCAAAATAACAGGATTTACTAGGCCTCTGATGCTCGTTTGGAATTTATTTGAATTGTGATCCACTCCACCGACCACAATTTATGTTCACTGAGATTTTTTATAAGTCCATTCTTTTATTACTGTAGTTTTATGTTGATTATAGTTAAAGCTAATGAGTTGATTTTAATTATTAACATTTTCTGTATTAATTTTTTTTTCTGTAAGTTGTAGGCAAGTACAAAAGTTCCAAGCCAAAAATGACCAAAAAAGGAAGGCAGTGGAACATGAACTGATCCTTCAAAATATCGGAGAAAACATGCAAAGATAATAAGCTATGTTGTACGCAAAAAAGTGAACCAAAACTCAGGCATCAACTCCCAAAGTACAGGTGTTGACACACATCAAATATTGATGCTTATATATCAAGTGATGACATTTTAGAAGTAAAACGAAGGCCAGAAGCCACGGGGATTAGCCATTGCAATTTAGGCATCAATACCTATGACCATGTGTTGACATGCAAGTATGGAAATTGACGAGGCCATAAGTGTTACGTGAACTAAAATAAGAACCAAAAAAGGATGAGAAGTAGCCACTATCTCATCGTTGACGAAGAAACTCTTTGCAAGACAGACTAAATAATAAAAGCTTCATCAAATGTTAGATCAAGTACATGGGCCTTCAAGCACTCAATCGTCATCCAAATTAATAGATCATTCAAGCGTCAACAGTGTTCTATAATTATCTTATTCGTTTAATAAGTTGATTTACCTTATCTTTTATTGAATTTTAAAAGGTTGCCACAGAACAAGGCTTGTTGGAGTAAAGGATGTTGGTACCTTAAAAAAGTCAACGTCTAATAGGTTAAGAACTAACATAGTGAAAATACATAAAGGGAGACATGGGGAATAGAGGTTAGGCCAAACCATTATAAACTTTCATATGTCGTGTACGCTAGATTATACTAGCAAAAAAGTTAATTTTCACACTGATGTTTCAACTCAAGTCAATCCATTCACACTGACGTTTCAACTCAAGTCAATTCACTTTCGGCTTAACTTCAATACCCAAGTAAGTTCTTCAACGCTTTTATAATTTAGATATTTATATTTTTCTATCATGACTTTAGACTAAAGAAAATGTGTTTTATAAATATTTTTTCATACAAAATTTCATTAGGGTCAAAAACTTTAAAATACACACAAATGTAGTTCTATGTCACTTCGACTTCATTCAAACAAGACTACAGCAACCACAATTAATTTTCATCTTAAATTTGTAATGTTGTGGACTAAATCATTATTTATATTTTCATTAACACAAGTGCAAACATCTCCTACGAAATATTCCAAAGCGTTTCGAAGGCCATGGATCCAAACACTTGTTCAACTAAAGATATTTTCCAGAAGTAAATTATAAATATTAATCCATCCATGCTTTTGAAGTTTTACAATGTAGATAGAAGATGCGTGCGTTTCAAAGTTCATGGCTGCATCTCTAACCTTTTCTATTTTCAAAAAGTGAAAACGTATGCCATAAATTTAGGCGATATAGAATTTCCAACTTGATCTTCAAATTTCTTAAACGATTGCGACTTGAAACAGTTGTTAATCCGAAATGTGTTATTATGCCAGCAGCCCAACCTACCTCCACCCACAATGAAGTGTTCAATGAACCATAACCATAATTTTTCAAATCTAAACGGAAATGAACCAGATGACAGACTTGGTTTTGACAGGTGAGGCAACAAAAGTAATAGAGCTGGTGGTACCAAATCAATAAAGTAATTAATTTTTGTTCATGAAAGAACTCAATACTGATCCCCATGCCTCTATTTATTCAGAAAATGAGAGAATCATATTCCTGCATCAAAACTTTCATAACAGCATTGGGACATAGACCACCTAGCCACAAGCAAGTTTTTAAAAACATAAATTAGAAAAAGGATTAATAGCTTATTAAAATATAAAAATCACCAAATTAGCAAGCAAGGCCTGTACCTTTCCAGTCAAAAGAAGCCATAGAAGACCCTCAGGCAATGGTTGACCACCAGGAAGTGCAGCAGGCAGCACTTTCTGACATTCAGGAATAGAAAGACCTCTAAAGCGTATTCCCTGAATATGGATAGAGTGAACGAAGCCATTCAAGTCACACAGGAATACCCATATAAATCCTCAAAGAAGCAGGAAACGAAGTATAATGGTTTACCATGATTTTACAAGAATATGTTGCGTAATGGTAAGCTCTTTGAACCACATAAAAAAACTTCAAACTTGGGGGCAGAGGAGGAGAAAAAGATCACCTCTTCAGGGTCAAGTAATGAAGTTTCCCACAACAATCCAGTCATTCCTCGCATTCCACCAATTACCTTGTCAAGTTTCAAAGAAAAAGAACTCAATAATATTTTGGCATTTAAATCGTAGTGCTCTCTAATTAGGTTTGATTGAAAGAAAAAGAAGAATCAAAAAGAAAATCCCAGCAAAGAGTGCACAAAAGTAATACAAATATTAACTTTAAAACATATGGATAGACATACCATGTCAAGAGTGATCTTTCCTAGTTCGACTTTACCATGTTCTGATTTCAACTTTTTCAAGCGCTCCTGCAAAAGAAGTATTAAGAACATAAGAAATCTTGCTTGGGTGGAAGGGGTGAACTGCTGGCACATTTATCAAACAAAAAACGTTTGAACCATCACTATGAATGGCTTACGAAACATATATAAATCTTATCACTAACGACATTGGGTTTCTTACCATTAAAAAATTACTTAATATATCATCAGACAAAAAAAAAGGGTTTTAGATGGAAAATATTGAAACTTTGCGAATCAAACACAATGTAAGGAGAAAAAGCATATTATGTGCCATCAACATGTTTTGTGCCCTCACATGATAACCAAAAGGCTAATTCCGGTTTATAATAACTGAAATATTTTCATATTTACTTAGAGGGATTATAATAATTAGTGTATTATATTCGATAATTTAAATGAAAGAAAAGGTGTTAATGAGGAAACAATGAAAGAAAAAATGTACACTTAAAAACCCCACTGGAGCTATCTAACTATGAAAAAGAAAAACTGCATTCTAATATTTATACATGCTTCAGAGAAAAAACTACAACAATTTTCCTCGTTGCACCATACAAACCCTCCACTTCATTCAACGATATTTTTTCTAGACTCTCCTTATTCTTAGGTATCATTGGCGTGTTCAAACCTCCCTGTTCAACACAGACTGGCACGTACCAAATGCTTAAAAATATTCCTCAACCTATGGAAAGTGAGAGTAATGTTTTTCATTTCAGGACCCTCTCCTTCTAACTTTCTGAACGTTAAGTATTGCTTCCAAAAAGAGGAAAGTATTCTCTGTCAAATCTATCGGCTGAAACAAGCAGACTTTCACTTGAAAATATTAGTTCAAAGGCCAAAGAATCGAAAACCAAAAAAAGCGGGTGAATCAGCCACAGAAAGTTCTGAACTTCATCAAAATCAAAAAGGCCGAAACTAGTCTGAATCAGTCTAACCGTGGGAAGAGTAAGAAGGAATTTTCTTGCTGATTCAGATCCGATTACTGCATTATATGATTCTGGCTGATTAATTCCCACTGTTCTACATGGTTCTTGGAAATTACTACTGGTTTTCAGTTGCATTACCCAACCGCATTCCCTGTAGTAGGAATCTAGCAACCATGTTCGTTGAAAAAAAAATATTGAGTTTAAAATTTTAAAAATGCGTGTAAACTATCATTCGAAAGCAAGATATAGAGGTATGTCATTCCTATGAAAGAGCATGTATATTCGACAAACAACCGAAGGACATTTCACTGTGAAGAAGATTGTACCTGTTGCTCTGGAATCAGATCTTTCAATTGTGAACGAAGATCCTGCACCATAAAAATGATATTTTACTGACTTAAAAGCTTTAAATGACAGTATAACGTGACAAGCAAGAAATATGTGAAGATTCAGAATTATTGTCCGTTCATTCTTTCAAAGACTTATGACTGACACATGGTTAAAAAAATCACATGCTATTTTTTATTCAGGTAAGATTTTTCAATTAGTCTTTCGGGCAAAAATAGCTGTTTGCAGAACTTTTCAATCTGAATTCAGCAATAAATGACGAAGGATCCATAGTTTTCTCTGAGAGAAGATAAGTTTCACACTCAGATGCCAACCTAGCATTGAACACGGTGGTACAAATACCGAATGGGAGTTTACAGAGCGTGTGCATTTTACCAAGGTCGCTCGACACCAAATCTTATGTTGAAAAGATTTCTTACTAACCAACCAAATTAAGATTACAGAATAACAGTGCAGCCTGTAAGTGTTTCCCTCACATGCACAAGTTGGATATTGAAACAAGCGATCCTCTCAGAGAAAATTCATCAACCCCCGTCAGATGCAACAAAAACTAGATTGCAGAAAATACATTTTTAGCCTAACCAAGCTGACTGAGATATCACTAGTAAATAAAGGCAAACCATTGTATCCCTAATCCCGCTACAGAATGAGGAGAAACAAAGACCTCCCAAAGGATATTGCTGATTTACTGCATCTGTCACTCAAGAAATCTCAGCATGTTTAAAACACTAAGCATGACAGACATTATACTTCGGCACAAAAGGGCTGGTGCAGTCAGAAGATTCATTCCGTTGACATTGTGCGTTCAGATACTAAATACTTCCATGATATGTAAATCTGAATGAAGAGGATAAAGCAAGACAACAGAACCACAATTGAGTAAGTTCGAAAATGATAAAATGCATGTTTATAATGAGTAAATCCAACTGAAATAGAAGCTATCAGGACATACAAGATCAGAAGCACTCTGGATCTGCAACCATCTCACTGACCCTAGAGTCGCCGACTGCTGCGCCTGTGAGAAGAGTCAATAACCAACCGCAGGAGAAAAACAAGAGAAACCGCGACATTAAAAAATGAAATGTGCAACACTAGGAAGCACAGTCCACTTCAGAATCGTTCTCTCGAAAAAGAGATGCCGACATACAACAAAGCAGATAGAACTAAGGCGGGGTCGAACAATTACATCGTTAGCATCAGAAAAACTTACTAGACGGGATCGTATCTTGGAAAGCACGGAGACGCCCCTTAAGAACACCATCGCTTCAACGATTACCTGGATGGATGGGACAGAGCTTCATCATACATTACAAGGTGGACTCAGTGCGGACACCAGAAAAAAATCACCCGTCGGCCAAATTTCGCAATAAAATCAGACGTGCAAACATGAAGAAATTATAGTGAGAGCCCATTTCGTTAATTAAATGGAGAGAAGCAGATTAAAGAGGGAGGACGAGAATCTGGAAAGATTCCCACATTTCGCCCCAAGGTACCTGGATCCTTCAGACAACTCAGAGAAACGCCGACGAATGCAAAATGGAAGGAACAAGGGGATGAAGAAAATTCTACGAGAAGAGAGAGAAATGCCGGGCGACTCTCGGCCGGTCAGAGAGAGCGGCGAAGAGAAAGAAGCCTGCGTACAACCTTCCAGGCGACGGAGAGGTCAGGTGACTGGAAGACGGAACTCGGCTTCCCCAGGAATGGCGTCACGTGGCCAACCCGGCGGCTCGGGCAGGATCTAACTCGCCCGAGTCGAGCCCCCGACGAATCGAATATTCGAGGCCACCGGTGTGACTATGGTGGCCAGCAAGGTGCCTGACGAACAAGGTAAGAAGTCAACGAGCCCGAATGGGCTTTCACTTCTGCCACGTGGCTGCTCCTTTCAACCTTTCTGGCCCGGGCTCAGACAGAGCGGGCCAACATCTTTCAATCCAAAGGTGGTGACGTCATCTGTTCGCATTGGTATTCTCTGAATCATCGCATAAATAATAATAATAAATAAAAGTTCGTAAAATGGATTAATGCAATTTTTTTAACATTTTCTTCGCTCTCGCTCTCTCTCTCTCTCTCTCTCTCTCTCTCTCTGTGATTGAACCCCATCGGGACCACCGCGGGCACCGCCCGGACAACGGCGGCGGGTACCGCTACAAGTGGAGACTTGATCGAGCATCAGAATAAGTAGAGTAGACGACCGAAGTCAAACACTACGCTGCAGTGTTTGACCGGAGTGAACTGGTCTAGCTCGAAGTCAACGGGTCATCCTCTTCATCTTGCTATTTAATACCCACGATCCGAACATTATTTAATTCCTATACAATCGATAATTGTGGAGAGAACAAGGTTTTTATATTTAAATTTTCAAGAAAAAAAGGGAAACCATGAGACCAAATCCAGCAACCCGAGGGACCCACTGCTAGAACTGCGTTGACATTCAGGTCAGGGGAGTGGGGAGGTTGAAGGAGCCAGTCTGAGCAAGAACTGCTGTACAGCTAGGTGCAACAGGGGAAGCTTTTGGCGGCGGATTACATCTGCAGCCACTCGTGTCATACCTTGGTCAGAAGGGCTTTCTCCTGTGTTCTTCTGTTTTCTCTCTCTAGAAACCTGCCCAACCGGAGGGCTGATTTCCCGAGGCCTTCGGCTCAGCACTGCCCCCACTGCCGCCACCGCCACGTGGGCCAGAGGCCCTTGAGATCTGAGGGCCTAAGGTGTCGGCGGCGATGAAGCCTTCCTGGTCAAAGCCCCAGGGGTCAACGGCAGGGGTTGAACCGGAGACCTTGCTGCTCCGATGATGCCCGTTGATCGTCCGGACTGATCGGGGCTGCTGGGGCGGTCTTGGCTGCTCGGCAAAGGGTTGCCATGGCTTGGAATCTGGACTGGGGGACGCTGAGCTCTTGAGCATGCTGCTGGAGAGCTCCCTGATCGATCCTTCTATCTTCTCCCTTTGCTGGGCCAGGATGAAATATATTTATAAGTTTCCAGATAAATAAAATTCATGCGTGGAATGCATATCAATCAGAAGAACAGCGACATCAATGATGATGGAAAATCTTCACCCACATATGAATCTTAGAAAGAATATTTGGACGAATGTCAGCATGATTAGAACATGTAGAATCAAGATTGCCCATGAATGATGATGAACAGAATATGCATCTACATGTTTTCAGAAAGAAAATCGTAAGCTCATGATATGATGAATGGAAAGGAGGAGAGGGATAACTGGGCTGGGCGACTGAAAGCTTCCGGGAGACGTCTGTTCTTGAGATCCGTCTGAGCTTGGCTGTGATGGGGTCATCGTGGCTGCCACTGCTAGAGACTGCTTCAGCTCCTGAATCTCCTGCCGCTGAGACCGGCAGATGGCCGACAGCTTCTCGTACCTTGACGTGATGTCAGCCTTCTCCAGGTTAGCCTGTTTCAGCTGTTCCTTCAGCCTCTCCACCTCAGCTTCCAGCTCTTCCCTCGGCGTCATTCTACTACCGCTGTTGCTGCCGGGGCTGATCTTGGTGGTGTCAAACTCCGCCACAAAGGTGTTGAATGCCTCATTTTGAAACACCATCTTGCTGCTGGGCTGCGACCTGGTTATCTCCTCATACCCACCATCCTTGTCGAATCTGATCTCAAAGTCCTCACTGGGGCTGTCACGAGTCTTTCTAAGAGTCCTTTGTTGGGCACGGGCCTCGGGAGGACCAGGTTTGGTTTTGTCTTGGATGGTCTGTGGGGCCTGCTTGGGTCTTGGCTCGTCATCAAACCGGGTGGACTTTTCCTCTGAGAACTGTGGTTCACGCGCATGCTGGGTGGACCAGAAAGCACCCAGTGGGGCCTTGTTGTCGTCTGTCTTCAATGAGCTCTGAGAAAGATTGGAGTGTTCTTTCTGGGAAGGTGGCGGGGGAGGAGATCTTCGAGGCACCACGGACGGTCTCTTTGAAATTCCTGGGAAGAGATGTGACATGATAGGATCATTTTGAGTTTCCAAAGGTGAAATTGATAATTACCCACACCAAAAAAAGTCAAACAGAAGTCAATTGATAGGTGTACCTAAACTGAAATCAGTTTTTTTTTTCTTGAAAAGTCAAACAGAAGTCAAATTCAGCCATTAAAATGATGCTTTAGGTGATGGTCACATTAATTCACCTTCCTTCTGCATATTTGCGGTTCCAAGGTGATTTTCAGGTGTTCCTGTCCACAATAACCCGTCTGGCATCTGCTTCTGCAAATCCTCAGGTAGTTGCAGGTTCACACGAAACCAAACCTGTCGGCACAGACAGTTCAATCAGCAGCTGAAAACCAAATTTCCTTGCGTCTAACAGCTGCCACATAATGCAATGATCTCGAACCAACCTAGGTTCATGGGGATGAATGGCCAATCAAGCAAAGTCCTTGCCTGTGTGATGTCTGGTCTGTCATCCGGGGATGACTGAAGCAAGTCTTTAATCAGCTCTGTCAAAGAAGAAGTGTACTTTGGCAATTCCGGGATGCGATAGTTTCCATTCAAAATTTGTAACTTTGATTCGCCATCAAATGCAGACTTCAAGTAGCAGATTCTATATAAAAGGCATCCAAGAGCCTGAAATGGGACAAGGAAAATAATCACCCACTCGCAACAATGAAGAACATCTCAATTGGCTTAAAAAATATCAGCAGTCCACAGATAGAACGTGTGATCATGAATACACTCGTTTGTATACCGATTAAATGATTATATGCATACACGAATATGGGATTTAAAAAGATATCAAACATTAAGAAACATTCATTCCACTAAAAAATCCGTGATTTGGGCAACATGTTCAAGGCATTTATCTATCAAACGAAACTCGGTGGATTTGAGAGAAAGTCTACAAAACACAATGAATACAGCCTATCGCAGCTTAATCCCAAATGGGAGAAATTCGAGTGTGCTTTTAAGGATGCCCAGCCCAAACTGCTATTCAATGGATAAAATCATTTTCCTGCCTTTGATAGAGTTATGATTCACAAGGAGACATGAGATGAAACAATGAAGTGTCATCAACTTACCCAGATGTCAACTTTTTCACTGATAATTTCTCTTCTGAACAAGTCCCACATCTGTAATGAAGCAATGTAGATAAATGGTTCATTCTTTTCACTTTTTCACTGTAGAGATAGATAAATAATAGAAGGAAAATTGATAATACATAAATAAAAGCTATCGATTAAACCTCAGGTGCCCTGTACGCAGGTGTTGTATGCTTTCGGATAACATCTTCTTCGATACCCCTCTCCTCAGGACGATCGAAGCATTTGTGATTGGTAGAAGTGCTACCAAAATCACATAATTTCCAAGCAGCATCAGCTCCAAGTAAAACATTCTCAGCCTTCAGATCTCTGGAAGGTGCACCACAATCAGGGATCCATAAATAGATAATGACAAGAAATAAAACAAGCCATGTGTGCTTATATTATATAGATATTAGGACACTTAATTATGCGCTACTGTATAGTTACTGTTCACTATGATAGCTTATCTTCCAGATTCTTAATATTTTTGGGTGATCCAAACAACCTGAACCTTGACTCATGCAGAAAGTTGTCTCAAATTTCAACAAATGTTCTTTTGTTGACAACATAGGCAACCGAGATTTGCAGGCCTAGCATGTCTCATTCAGATGAACTGTCATTATTTACATTAACGAAGAAGGCCATCAAATAGTATTACCAAACGTTACAGGAGAAAAAAAAAATTCTTAGAGTTATCTATTTAGCAGAATGTATCCTTGATATTTTCAGATAAAACTAAACTTCAATCTAAGGAAAAATTAAGAATCTAAGCTCCATACCTATGTGCAATTGGTGGAGATTGGCAGTGCATTGCAAACACTGCATTGCACACATCCCTAAATATCAAGAGGACCTGCTTCTCTTCGAAGTAACCTGCACCTCTATTCTCCAAAACATTAACCAGTGACTTCTCACAAAACTCCATCAAAAGAAACACCTCTTTTGTTCGTCCCATATCAAAAATTGCACTTGAAATAAGCGTAATCACATTTGGATGTCCTTTGAGAATCTTCAACACAGAGATTTCCTTCTTTGCCAAATCCAGTGACTCCTCATCATTACAAATCATTTGCTTTAAAGCATAATTCGTGGAGGGATGCATTGCGTCATTGGCAAGATAGACGCATGAAAATCCACCCTCAGCCATGACATTTCGAACATGAACCTTTACATTTCCAATATCTAGCATGCGACCTTCCAAGCCAGTCAGCTCTTTAGGAATGAATTGCTTGAATCTCCACATGATTGAAAGTTCTTGATCACTTTCAATTTAGTCCTTGTCGTCAGTCTTCAAGTGTACACTCTTCCTCGCAGTGATAACTCACCCCTGTCCTTGCTGGTAAAGTAAACAAAAAATCAAAAGTTTAGGAAGAAACACAGATTGGTTATGAAGAAAAAAATTCAATTGGTTATGAAGAAAAGAAAGTAATGTACACAACTGATAGTAATCGAATGTGTGATTGACAGAGTTGTTACTTGCGGTGGGTTCTGAATCTTTATAATTCAGAATAGTATTGAATCATTTTAAGTCACAACGTCGTTCTCAGTGGGTTGCTCGATAGCACGCATATGACTAAAAATTGAAACATAAAAAAGAAGAAAAATATTGAAATCAAAACCAAGTATAATGTGCCATAATTAAATGCATTGCACTATGTCTACAGAACCGAGGCCAGACCAGTCCCCATCTTATATACTATAATACCAAAACTGTACTAAAACCAGAAAAATCCGTCGATGAACACGAAAATCACACAATCTCACCACTCATTCAAAACGCACGCACGACAGGAACGCGCACGAGCCCCTTCTCGGATCACATAACAAAATATTGTGATAAACAAAAAGACGAACTAAAACAGCTCCAAATTCCCGTGAAGATAAGAAACCTCTCCATTGATCCAGCTCAAATAAAGAAGCGTGGGACGACCACAAAAGAAATAATGCGACGAGCATAACCGGTACCCACGAACAAGGAAAACCGAGCTCACACGTAATCTCGCAGATCCGGAGGGACCCCGAGCCAGCCCACTCAATCCACGACACTGGAGCCTAGCAGCACCACGATTTCCTAGATCTGTCCAGCCCCTCGAGCGATCGGAAGAGGTGGGTCTTCCAACTCGCTTGATCCACAGCTCCGCCGGGAGGTGGGGTGGGAGGAAGGGTGGAAGGCATCCGGTGCCTTCTTTTTGTTTTCATCTCCTTGCGGTCCTGGTGAAGGAACGAGACGTATCGGCGACACCGTCCGATGAGTGGGCCCATCACCGACGAGGCCGCCTAGGCCCGGCTGATTAGTCCGAACCTTCTTCTCAGGCTCGGCCGGCTCAACTGCTTCACTCGCTACTTATTATTAAACCACCGCTCTCTCTCTCTCTCTCTCTCTCTCTCTCTCTCTCCCTCTCTCTCTCTATCTCTACCCCACCACACGCGTTGTGAGGGAGACAACGTGCGTTAAAAGATGAAGCAAAACATCACACAAAAGGTTTGATCTGGAAGAGAGAAGTTTGAAGGCATAAATGGTTATACGTTTTACTTCCCTCAATCCAACGGCTGTAGAACCACTTGATGAGATAATTTGCCATCACTCCTTGATGGAAAAAGGACCTACAGCTGAAGAATTGTACCCTCTAGGTAGACATAAGCACCTACTAAGACTGCAGAAGACCTTGTTCAACCCACTTAGAGAAGATTAGCTTCACAAGTATCGAAGCAGAAATTATGCATGGAAGAGAAGGCGGCTCACAAGCATCGATGGAGGATATCAAATTGTACGTATTTAGGCTATAAAAGAAGGAATGTGGCAAGAAAAAGTAGGATCAAAGAGTGCTTTGGAGTGGAGGGTAGTTGGAGGCTAACCACCTTGAATCATTATGTATCAAGGTATATATCCATATATCTTCCAGCAATTGCTCCTAGGAGGAAGTTAACCACCTCAAATCAATCTGTATCAAGGTATCCCCCTTCCCTCTTCTCCCTCTCTCTCTCTCTCTCTCTCTCTCTCTCTCTCTCTCTCTCTCTCTCTCTCTCTCTCTCTCTCTCACTCATATCTATCTATCTAGCTATCTATTTTTCTTCCAACAAATGCTCCAAAGAGGAAGTTAACCACCTCAAGTTAGTATGTATCAAGGTATCCTCCCCCCCCCTCTCTCTCTTGCTATCATATCTATCTGTTTATCTATTTATCTTCCAACAATTGCTCCTACAAGGAAGTTAAACACACCTAGGGTCAAGGGAGACCCATCAAACTAGTATAAAACTTAGAATCATTCTACCCGAAGCCATGGTTTCACCAATGGTCTTGAAAATCTGTTGTTTCACACAACAATTGACTCCAACCATAGAACATGTGGCTCGCTTGGGTATAGTATTGATATAGCACAAACTTTCATGCCTCATCTAGAGTGACACCGTTCTCCACCATCTACAATAGACCTCCCCAAATCCTTCCTTGCTATGAGATAAACATGACATACTCAAACAATGTTAACCACTTGATTCAAGAAAGAGATGCCTCACTTTATCAACACAAATAACATTTGGCTCAAGCCCAAGCAAATATGAAAGTTTATGAAAAAAATCATGATGAATTCAATTTAAAAGTTAAATATGTCGTCATGATGTAACTAAGTTTATGCAAATAATATTTATAAAATCTTACTCTTCTATTTATAGTAAGTAAGGGTCAATCCTCAAAGAGCGTGGGTAATAAGAGTAAGATTTTACTTATTTTATTTCTTATATATATATATACTTGAGTTGTGAAAGGCAAAATTAATCTAATAAGAGTAAAGACAAATGAAATGAAAATTGTGGTAAAGAATATAGAATGAATCAAATGTAATGAAATAATAAAATAAATGATAAAACTAGTTTGAACTAAGAGTTAATATATCCATAGAAAAAATTATAAGGATGTTTTAGATCTAAATCTTATACAAACCTCGTTGTGCATCAATTGTAAGTCGAGTGGTACTTGATCTGCGACGATCTTGATGCGTTCCAAGTAGTTTCCTCTCACAATAATCTTAGGCACAAGAATATCGTTGACTAGGCCTTGATTTATTTATTTTTTTCTTCGACTAGTTACTACTAGAGAAAAAGTCAAAAAGTATCTTCTAAGAAGGGGGACGAGATGTATTAAACCTCTAAAGAATTAAGCCCTTCTAATAGACGGTTATGATTAATAATTGACTATCTTTGTGGACGGCCTAGATCTTTTCATGAGGATAGTGTTCTAATCTTCCTCTTAATATTATCTTAAGGTGCTCTAAAATATATGGCCTAGATCTCATCTCTTGATAGCCAAATGAGTTAGGCCAAAATAACACTTTCTTTGAGGCCCATAAATATATTAGGTACACTCTCTCCATAAAATTTGGGCTTTTTCTTGGTTTGAAGACTTAAACTTTTTTCATTACTTTCAACTCATAATAAGAGTTTACTTAAGTTTTTATAATCAAATAATTATCAAGAAAATTTGAGAAAATTACTATTTGACTTCATAAAGTTAAGTGAGGTTAATTTTATAATATAAATAAAATAATATATACTATGACTTAAATAATAAAATATTATAAATGTAATAATAAGTTGGTAAGACATATAATTATATTATTTATCTATTAATTAGTATCTATATATAAGATATTAATACATAGATTCAACTAACAATTTATAACTATCAAACTACTAATAGGAACTCAACTTCATAGTAGGCAACCACATATACCTACAATTTTGATTTTACTGAGAAGTTGGGGCCTTAGTTCTTCAACCTATTTAAAGTCCAAAAACACATCAAATCTATGGCATATCAACTCACCATTCCACCCACTACTAGTACTCACTTAGTCTTCCATGTGTCCCAATTGAAATAAGCCATCGGCTCATCATCTCAGTTGATCACAACCCTACTCATGATGGATAGCAACCTCACATGGGTCACTTATAGATGACTAATTATCTCCATCAAGAATTATGGAATTCCACCTTGGGGACAAGGTGAGAGTCTTAGGAAGATCATTGATGGAATACTCACCAACCTATCACATCCCCACTGAAAAAAGGACTTAATGGCAAGAGAGTCATCATATATGGAGAAACATCAACACTTGTTATGACAATAGAAGACCTTTTCCAACCTACTCAGAGGAGAGGACCTTCATAGGTATCAAAGGAACCCCATACTAAAGAGAAGGCGGCTCAAAAATATCAAAGGAGGATATCAAATCGTAAATCCTTAGGCTTATAAAAGAGGGGGTGTGGCCCAACAAAAAGGGGATGAGAGAGTGATTATGAGTGGAGATTAATTGAAGGCTGATCACCTCGAATCAATCTATATAGGGGTATGCTCCCCTTCTCTCTCTCTCTCTCTCTCTCTCTCTCTCTCTCTCTCTCTCTCTCTCTCTCTCTCTCTCTCTCTCTCTCTCCTCCCTCCCTTCAACCTACCCTCATTATTGTCATACTCTCAACATGTTCCTCTCTCCCCCTATTGTAATACCTTCATTGTCATATTATCCTTATCATTATACTACCTTAGAAGAATATATCTCATCTATCTTCCATCAACCAATGCCACAAGAGAGCCAATGCTCCACTAGGTCAAGGTAGACCCATCACCACCCTTCCACTCTTTCTAGTAGCACTACAAGAATCCATGGAAGAGAGAGAAATGGAGAAGGGGAAGGGGAGAGAAGACCAAAACCCTAAGGTTCTGGGGAAAGAAGAAGAAAAAGTAGATGATGATGAAGAAGAAGAATCCAAATGCGGTAGTGAATATGTATGGGGGACATAAAGTGAACATGAGGCACAAAGTCTAAATCAGGTTAAACCTTTCTCGGCTAGGCTCAACTGGAGAACAGTCTGTGTGTTTGTGAGTCAATCCCAGCCCAACATCTTTCATGCGAATGGCGTGATGTATCTAATTGTCTTGGTATTTTCTAAATTATTTTATAAATATGAATAAACAAATTTCGTTAAATGGATTAGTCAATTTTTTCTTCTCTTCTACTCACCTCTTCATCACTCTAGTTTCTAATTCTCTCTCTCTCTCTCTCTCTCTCTCTCTCTCTCTCTCTCTAAATTTATCAATTACTCCTGAAAATATTTTCTTGGGCACCATTAAAGATGCAGTGGAGATGTCAGGGTTAATTTTTTTGTCAATACATATTCGTGATCATTTATAATTAAAAATGAGTATAACAAAAAAAGAAGCCACCTCTCCGCTATGGATCCGACAGCGGCTACCTGGCAGGCTGACGATGGTTCCCAAAGCAACCGATATGAATCCGAAGCAGAACCCGAATCAGAGTCCCCACCGCCCAAGTCTTTTAATCTCGACACCTCTTCTCTTTATCTCTCTCCTGATTCTCCAAGGGCGGCGCGTGGACCTGTAAGAAGGACAGGTGTCACTCCATGCCACGTGGCTGGCACCGCTATTATCTCCTTATAAATTGGAGCGGCCTCTACCGGTGCAATCAGAGAAACAATGCAAGCCGGCAAAGGAGCGATGGCTTCCGCAAAGGAGACGGCGGCGAACATTGCCGCCTCCGCCCAGTCGGGCATGGAGAAGACCAAGGCCACTGTCCAGGGGAAGGTGACCCCACGGCCGTTTCTCTCACCTCATTTCACCTCTCTCTCCCTCATCTCTTTCTCTCTCTACTGTTGCAGGCGGAGAAGATGACCGCCCACGGGCCGGCGGAGAAGGAGATGGCGGAGGAGCGGAAGCAGCAGATGATCGAGCAGGCGGAGCTCAACAAGCAGCAGGCCCGGGAGCAGCACGCCGCCGAGAAGGAGAGAGCCCGCGTCGGCGGCGTTCCCGCCGGCGAGGTGGTGGGGTCGAACCCCATCGGGACTGCCACCGGCACCGGCCGGACCACGGCGGCGCACAACCCCCTCACCGGTGGAACCCAGCCAGCCGGCCGGCACACTGGCGGCGGGTACACCTAAAAAGGCGTTGACTGTAACCCAATATCAGAATAAGTAGAGGAGACGGACCCAAGTCTCCCCTTTCGTCTTACTGTTTTACCGGTGCTGGATTGGTTTAGCTTGGAGTCAGCGGATCATCAACTTCATCTTTCTACATTCCAGGTACACCTAAAAGCTGCAGACTTTAAACCAATATAAGAATAAGCAGAGGAGACGGACCCAGGTCTCCCCTTTCGTTGTACTTTTTGGCCGGAGTGCACTGATTTAGCTTGAAGTCAACGGGTATCAACTTCATCTTCCTAAATTCCGGGTACACCTAGAAGCTGGAGCCTTTATTCCAGCATGAGAATAGGTAAAGGAGACAATAGATGTCGCTAGTGGTCTCCCCTTCGTTGTAATGTTTGACCTATTCTACGTTCAAACTAGCTTCATGTCAACGGATCATCATCGTTATCTTGCTAAGATTCCGGGCACACCTAAAAGCTAGGGACTTCAACCCAGCAGGAGAATAAGTAGAGGATAAAAACCCGAGTCTCCCCTTCGTTGTAATATCTGACCGGTGCTCCACTGGTTTAAGTCAACGGGTCACCATCTTCATCTTGCTAAATTCAGAGCCATTTGAGATAAGAATTTAGGGAGAGAGAATTCCCAGAGAGCGAGAGAGAGAGAGAGCAAAATGATTCAAAAATCTCTAGGCCAAGGTGGAGAGGATCAGATGGGGGGCTTCCGGAGGTCGGCAGCTCCATGGGCAAAATGGCAGCGGGCGCCGAATGTGCAGGACCCCTTGCCGAAATTCTCGCACATCTTCGTCTTGTAGTTGCTGGAAGCAGAATGCAGGCCGGTGGCGGCAGCAGCAGCATGGGCCTTTGCCGACGGCAGCGGCGTGCCGGCAGTGAGATTGAGGATCAGCTCCCGCACCATCGCGCTGGCCTGCTTGATCTGGTCGAAGGTCCCCTCGAGCTCGATGTTCCGCAGAGTAGAATCCGCCTCGTGCTCTCGAATGGCCAACTTGGCCCCCGTAATCCGGCAGATCTGCTTGGTGTTCACCCCGCCCTTGCCGATGATTGCTCCGGCAAGGGAGGCGTCCACGCTGATCTTGGCGGTGGCGGAGGCCCCGAAGCTTGCCGCTACACCATGCCCAGTCGGAGGCGTTGGGTCGGGCCACCCGCCACCACCCGACCGGCTGCCCGCCAGGCCGTGCGTGGGCAAAATGGGCATGCCGAGCTCCCTCTCACCATGGGCAAAGTGGCACTTGTCGCCAAATTTGCAGCCTTCAGTGGTGCCGTACTTGTTGCACATCCGGGTCTTCACGGCAGGTGGCGGTAGCGGGCCGTCGCTGTGCGACAGTGCTGCCATGGGGCTCCTTACAGTGGGGTTGCCCAGGTTGCTCATATGGCTCACGGCGTTGATGCCCCCAGGGACATAGTGGAGGAAGTGACAACCCTCCCCAAAGGGGCAGCCGGAGGTGCTGCAGTCAACCCCGCAAGAACAACATGAGAAATAATGCAGAGAAATGGAATAATACGATGAATCTGAGGATCAAATCAAGAAGAAAATAATAGGTAAATGTACGGGGCCGTCGTTGTTGTTGTTGTCCCCCAGGATCATAAAACTAAACATAAGAAAATCTATGTTTGTAAATGGAATAATGCTTTTATTGGGCAGATCAACACTGCGGTTGACAGATCATTCTTGATATTTCCATTTTTACTGGATTTAATGCTGAGAATATGATCGAGACAAGGGATTCTCCGTGGTAATTATATGATAGAAAACAAACGAAGTCAACCACCAAGAATCCCAAGAAATACTCATAATATAAAAACTGAATGAGATATCACAAAATAAGAAACGCCAAAAACACGAAGAACATTTCAGATCTGTCTTTGTAAGACGTTAAGCTATCGACATTAGGACAAAAGGATTATTCTCCATGCCGTGAGCTCTGGTATTCTGAAGAAACGACGAAACCATGAATGAATATTAAACATTGACCACGCATTAATTAACACCGTATTCAACATAGAGAATCTAGCTCCCTGAAGTGAAGGAATAATCCACGTAGGTGTAAGGAATCTAGCACTAATGTTTCATGTTTCTGAACCTTGACACAATAATAACAAGAAAAAAGACAAACGTACGAGAACAAAAAGTCTGTGAACAAGAAAAGGTAAATTATCAGATCAAAAATAATTTATAATTACTGACAACAACTGAGACAGAAAATACAAAAGGATAAAAATAAAATAAATGAGTAGTGATATAAACACAAAGAGCCACAAGAAAATTCATAGAGAAGAACATGTCAACAGAACGACAAAAAAAATTCACTTCATGTATGCTTGAAAAATGATCAAATAAGCTGTTTAGAAATGCATCATGGTGGCTGGTAAAAGACATCATCAGCTGCCACTCACCAGTAAAAGTTAAAACGGATTGATCAGAAAAGAGAATGTGGATATCAGAGACTAAAATTCATAAAGGGATATAAAATATATGAATAACCCAAATGCAAATAAGGTTATTGCAAGAATTGTCAAACCCAGTGTTACAGTCTTTTCAGTTAGATATTTGCTCGGAAAGCTTTAATATCCAAAGAGTCCACTCCTCAGTCAACCACTAACTCAATCTAATCTTGTTTACATTCATTAGTGCAAAAGTACCTGTATCACAACTTTGACGTTGAATCCATTAGCTCTGTAAATATTAAATTGATTGAAAAATATCTAATAACATTTTTCCTATTTCGGTACAGAAAAGTAAAGTTACATTGAGGCTCTGTTGAATTCATTAAATAAGTTAAGATTAGAACCTGAAAAACTTGGTGCATGGCTTCGATTTGCTTCCTATACCAGGTTGAAAAGACTCCGTGTCTGTTGCATAACATTAATTATTTCTTCTCAGGTAAATTTCAACAATTTATTAATCTTGATACTTACAGGAAAATTTTACTTCTCTTGAATGAAAATAAATTCTTATATGCAATTAGTGTTACTTGCTGACAATAAATACAATTCTCATCAAACTAATTTGAAAAATTAAACAAGACGAATAGATAAACTTTAAAGGCCACAATGCCATTGAAGGGAGGAAACCAATGACTTTCCAGTCGAAATGTAACACAGGGATCTACACTAGGAATCCAAGGACATAAAGAAGAAAACTTTGGTCGATTTTTGAATTAGGATACGAATCACGTTAACCAGATTTTTCATCTACAAAAAAACCGCAGATTATTCACTAATTTCTTGAATAGAATACCATGAAAAATAGTTATACTAGCACAGTGGATTTACCTAAAGTTTAACGTGATCCAATAAATTTTAGAAAATTATTTAATTACATTTTTAAAAGGACACTAGCTTTCTTCATCTACTTCCACCTAAGCCATTTTTAAGGCCACGAAAAGCCCTTTCCGTTCTTAGTTTCAACTTGATATAGTTTTCTGAGTTCCAGCAAGCTAAGACCTAGTCGCTTCTTGAGCTAATCCAGCATACAATTATGCATAAAAAGACGAAGCCACACACATGCGGATGTGATCATAAAAAAGCAAAGGTTGTATAAGTCAACAGGCATCTTAGGCACTAATTGGGGAGATGCCGCAAGAATGGAAATTACTGCTTCGCAGTATAAAAAATTACTTTTCTACAAAAAAACAAGGCTGGACTTAGACAGGTCATAAACCCCACCCATAAAACTAAAGGCAACAGTCTAATTGTTTACGTGCCCAAGAACTTAATACGTGAGTAAAATATACGAAAATCCACTCATTGCCAATTAAAGCGTCGGATGGTCCAAGTCTCGTGCACGATGGAATGGAACTGTAAAAATTCGAGACGGATAGAGGAAACAGATATAATCTATTGAATAAAAATGTTGAGATAATATTTAATGTCCTCAATTTTTGGTGATTCCCGACGGGAATCACGCTATTCCGCAACGCCACATTACTCGTTAACCAGCCCACAGTAAATGAACGTAAATTCTCCGTGCGAAGACTATACAGATACTTTTCGCGACTGACGGTAGGGTACATTATTGAATACGACTATGCACTATTTACCGCTATCTAAGCGAGCCGTGGGCTTATCATGAATCAAAGCTCATTTTTCCCGATTTTAATAGGATTCTCACTTAGGGCATACAGCCACATTCCCCTCCAGATTCCTACCATAGCCCGAAAACAAAGTGGGCAGCCTTCGAGAGGATCCCGAGGTAACGAAAATATCATGCATTAGCTCAGCCTCACACGGACCATAGAATACCGAGAGGAAAAAATACCCACACGCGCTGGGAGACATTACCGATATTCCATGCATTGAAAGATCAAGCAGGACACCGCACAAACGCTCGATGCCCAAGATAAAAGTTTGAAGACACAAAATCACAGAAGCATACCTTTCACTTTCTTCAATCCAACAGCTCCAGAACCACCGTTAAGGGCTGCATCGGCCACCCTCCCTCTCTTTCTAGCAGCGCCACGAGAATCCATGAAGGATAGCTGTTCCGGAACCGTTGTGGGAAACAGAGGTATGAGTGTACAAACACGAAGAGCGCACGCGAGCAAAAGCCACAGAACGCGCGGATCACTCGCGGATATATAACCTGCAGTGACGGACGAGCGAGCAGTGGAGAAGGGGGGAATGGGAGAGAGGACCAAAACCCTAAGGTTTTGGGGAATGAGAGAAGAAGAAGCCCGACGCATCACCCGCGAGGTACTTAAAGTGGATCTGAGGTACACAGTTTAAATCGGGCTAAGTCGGTTGCCTGGCGCCCGCTCACGACGCACCGGTCGGAGCCAGCTGGCTCACCTTCGCACGTGCTACAAATAGCTTCCCGCGTGCAGCTAGCTCTCCCCAGGCCAACCCCGTCAACCCAAAAAGTAGTAGTATTAGTGGGCCGGATGGCCCAAAATTGGGCCCAAAATGACCTGGCGGGGGCCCGGAACCTATTTCGAGCTCCACTTGGCCCAGATGGAAACCCTTTTTGGGCATTTTTCCTTTATTTACTGGGCCCACTATTACCCCATACCACAGTCTGATAATTATTTAATGTAATGTCTTCCCTTATTTCTGCTTGTCCCTCCTGACTATTTACATCGTCCATATACTCCCTTCTATGATAGACAAATTACAAAAAATAAGTACATTACTTATGTGTCCACTTATTTTCTAAATCGTGTATATGTGCATGTAAAGAGAGAGAGAGAGACGTGGGCACGATAAAGACAATTCTCCTCTAAATGTCCATTTCAACAGCTAAATCTTCTTAACAATTTACCCTTATAAATGGTATAAATTATATATTATAAACATTGGTACGTAATGTTATTTGAATATATTTAAGGGTCTATATTTGAAACAAAGTCAGTTCTTTAAACTCCCGCCTGCCCTCGTCATATGTCAACATAATGACGAGCTTTCGCTCACCCGTGCCGCCGCATATGTCGTCTCCGCTGCCGCCGCCCCTCCTCCGCCGCTGAATCCCAATTTTATGCGAACGAATGGCATCATTCTATCCTCCGACCGTCACAATCCGTCTTCAAATCAGGTATCTTCCTCTCCAGAGCCAGAAAGTAAGCGATTCTCCGGGGAAACCTCCATCTATGGAAGCTGGGTGTAGTCATCCCCCATCTCCAGCCCGTTCTTGCCGCAAGGAAGCCACACAGTGTCGTCAGGATGTGGAGATCTTCCGATGATCCAGTGGGGAGATCCAGGGGAAAGAGATGATATGTGAGGGAAATCTGTGAAATTCCTGCTTCCCTCTCTTCGTACCCTGTGTGGTTTGATGCCCTTTTGGGCTCCATCGGAGCTTCCCCGGCTGTTCCGTAGGTTTTGGGGGCTCTCTGAGTTGGGATTTCTCCGGCGGATGGTCGGAAGATGGAGGATTATTTGGGCGATCATGGGGCGTTGGATGAACCCTACTTGGGATCCGTCAGCCAGCAGTGGAGCGTGGGATTCTCCTCGGAATCAGGAGATGGGGATCCTGGGAGCCTCGATTGCCGATCCATGGGTTTAACTCCTTTCTTCCACACGACTGAGAGTAGCTTGATTCAACTGGACTCTGACACTCTGTTCTTCCCCCAATCATGGTGTTCCTCTGAGATTCCATCCTCCACCGTGGAGACAAAGCAGGTATGCGCCTCTCTTCTCCCAGAAAACGGCGTATTGCCCGGTGAGGCCTGATCAGAGGTTTGTCTCCTCCAAGGTGGGCTTCTCCCCCCCGTCTTCTCCCACCCGTGAACACAGGCTTCCCCCGCCGCCGTCAGAATCCTCCGGCAGCCCTGTCTCAGGTTCCTCCGGATTGACGACCCCAATTCAAGCGAGGGTCAGATGGACGAAGGGCCTCCATGAATGCTTCGTCAGGTCCGTTAATCAGCTCGGAGGCGCAGACAGTAAGTTACATATAGTGATTTACTCGTATAAAATCATCATTCCAGATGAATTCTCCTTCTTTCAGCGAATTTTCGAGGAACTGTGATTGATATCTCGGACCCATTTCATCGATCATCAATCGCCCTCGCCTTGGGTTGACCTAATGACCCGGCAAATGATTGATCACAGGGGCGACTCCCAAGAAGATTTTGGAGCTGATGGAGTCGGACGGATTGACGGTCTATCACGTGAAGAGTCATTTGCAGGTCAGCGTCTCTTCCGGCACAGAAACCTTCTCTCCGTGGTTTCCAATGATCTCGATGGCAGAAGCCGAGAACGTGACGCTTGAATCCAAACCCTTTTTGCAGAAGTATCGGAACTCGAAGTGCATATCGGAGCCTCCGCGAGGTGAGTTTCTTGATGAACCGCGCTCTGAGAAGTCTCTTCATCATAGTTTTTATAATTATGTGGAGATTACTTAGTTCCCCTCCAATCTTAGAGAGAGAGAGAGCCATAGCGACTGCAATGTGGCAACCAAAAGGACTGAGCTTGGCTACCGAGAGAGAGAGAGAGAGAGAGAGAGAGAGAGAGAGAGGGTTTTAGTTTAAATTTTATTTTTTTCTCACAGTTGCAGGCAAGAGGGTCCGTTCAAATGGCGTGCAACAGCGCAACGCCAAGGCGTGAGTCTTCACCTCCTTCAATCCCCCACCCCCATCAGATCTCCAACAATTCACGCCTCTTTCTTCTAGAGAATTGCAGGTCTTTGAAGCCCTACAGCTTCAGCTACAACTCCAGAGGCACCTTCAGGAGCAACTCAAGGTACCGAGCATCCACCACATTATCCATTCAAGATATTAAGTTGACTTTGAGTCCGATGGTTCATTGACTGCATACGGTGGGTCCTTCGGCCAGGCTCAATGGAACCTGCAGACACAGCTCGAAGAACATGGCAGGTGCCTCCAGAGGATGCTGGAACGGCAGCAGGACGCGGTCAAGAACTTGTCGGGTGGTCAACGGCGCAGGTGATCTTCGGCAGCCATTTTTTCAGCATCCCAAGCTCTACAGTTGCTGGTCTACAGCGAGGAACATGAAATTGGTTGACAAATTACCCGTGGGTCAACTGCATCTCAGGTTTGGAGATCAAAAATATTTTTGGTAATGAAGCCTTAATTGTTTTGAGTTATTTTGTCCAAAGTCAACGGAATTCAAGCTTTTCCTTGTATATTTCCTCGTGAATATGAGGGGCTGCGTTGACTTTGAGATCATACATAGTCAAAGCACGTCCAAGTTGTTTTATCAGCCTGGAAGCGCATTTTTAGACCCCGCATAAATAAAAAATAGAAAAAAAAACCAAAATTGTCAAGAGGAGAGGGTGGTGGAGGCTATTGCCCATTAAAAAAAGTCATTTTTTAATAACTAATATAATATATATTTATAGTTATGCATTTATATGGTTTTTTAATTAAATTATATATAAGCATTTAACGGTGTTTCTAGAATATACGAGAATGTGGATATTTATGGCACATCCAATCAAGTATGTATATCATACTTACACTTATTAAAGTAGTAGGATGGGGAACATTGGTGCATATTTTTACCCTTTCAATGGCTTTTGTGCAAGTAACCAGTGCAGCTATACGAACCAGTTTCGACGGTTTTCGCACGTGCGGTCGCAGTTCCAGTGAGCGAGAAAAAATTGCCTTCCTTCTACAGGAAGGTCACTGCGAAAACCCTACAACCCAGAATCTCTCTCTCTCTCTCTCTCTCTCTCTCTCTCTCTCTCTCTCTCTCTCTCTCTCGCTGTTGCAGCTCCAAGTCTTCTTCGTCTCCCTGCTGAAAGAGGGCGTTAAGCGTATAGAAGAGCGCTGAAGGGCTTCGGGTGATGTGTTCAGCCGCTGAGGCCTCCTCGCCGGTCTCCGTCTCCTTCAGTGAGCCATTCTCTTCTCAGCCGCTTCCGCAGACGAGCAAGCTGGATTAAACTCCCCGTATGAGGGAGCTCCGTAGAGCTTCGCCTGCTCTTCTCAGATGGTTCCGCCTGTGCTCTTCTAGAATCTCTTGCTCTTACGGATCCTCTCCTTCGGGAACTTCAACGATTCCGCCTCGTCGCGGGGATTCATTTGGGCACGCGAAAGAGTGCTCTCGTTCGGTATTCCGACCGAGGGATCCTAGATTTTCCCTTAGATGTCCTGCTTCTGCTCCCTCGAGAACTGCCTACGATCCAGATTTTGATGGGTTTAGGAACAAATGTGGCGGATTCAGATGTTTTTCTTCGGAGAAAACCCAGGAGTTTCACGGTATTACAGAGGCACAGGCCGCCCTGATGGACTATCTTCACTACACAAGAAGCTTCCAGTTTACAGATGCCGAGTACATAAGCATGAACTCACCGATTTTCCTCAGTAATCTTCTCAAGAAGGTGAAGGATAGACAGGATATTGGGCGTTCGATCACCCGGTTCCTCCTCTTCCACCCCATCAATGAGTTTGAGCCGTTTTTCGAGAGCTTGGGCTTGGTGCCTTCTGAGTTCAACCAATATCTTCCGCGGGATCTAATGTTCCTTTCTGATGATAGCGTGTTGCTTCAGAATTACCACACTCTGGTTAACTACGGCGTGCCGCGTACGAAGATCGGGAAGATATTCAAAGAAGCAATGGGAATCTTGTTCAGCGAAGATGGGATCTTGAGCTCAAAACTTCGGTCGTATGAGGAAATAGGATTGAGTAGAACCAGCATCATCAAGATTATTTCTTCTGCTCCATCTCTTCTGATCGGCGACGTTGACCGGGATTTTGTCAGAGTGCTGGAGGAGCTGGAGAGCATGGGCGTCGATCGTGAATGGATTGGCAGGAATCTCTCCGAAGAAAATTCCTATCTCTGGGGCAGGATGATCATGCTGCTGCAGTTCTTCAGGCAATTAGGGTTCAGTAGGAGGGAAGTTGGGGCACTGGTCAGAAGAAATCCAGGCTTTCTACTTGATAATTCAGGCAAGATGGTCTTTTCAGTGGTTGGGCTCCTGGCGAAAATGGGCAGCACAAAGGATGAGCTCTCTGGTCTGTTCCTGCACTTCCCTTCCATTCAGCTTGAGAGCTTTGTGAATAACTTGAGATTCAGTCTGCTGTTTCTGACCACGATTGGAATGGAGCCAGAAGACATTAAAGAAGTGGTTCGTTCCCATCCACAGATCCTCGGCTCATGTTATCTCAAGACTCCATGCAGTGTTCTCACTTCCCTGAGCGTTGGGCACAAACGATTGTGCAGAATCATAAAACAAGATCCCCATCAATTCAAGAACTGGGTCTTCGGAATGAAGATAGATCGGTTACCGAACTGCAAACAAGATCATATCTCGCTTGAGCAGAAGGAAAAATTTCTATTGGGTTTAGGCTTTTCCGAGAACTCAAAAGAAATGAAGAGGGCGCTCTCTAAGTTTCGTGGCAAAGGAGACGAGCTTCAAGAGAGATATAATTGCTTTGTGGACGCTGGGCTGGATCCAAAAGACGTATCAAAGATGATAAAATTGGCACCACACATCCTGAATCAATCAAAAGATGTTCTTGAGATGAAAATGGATTTCCTTGTTAATGGGTTAGGTTATCCATTGGACTCCCTGGTGACCTTCCCCTCCTTTATGTCTTTCACTCTTGAGAGGGTCAAAGCCCGGTTCCTCATGTATGATTGGCTCAAGAAGGAAGGGAAGGTAAAGCCCAATATGGCACCGAGTACCATTCTTGCCACAGCAGAGAAGGTCTTTCTGAAGCGGTTTGTGGAGCGACACTCGGAGGGCCCAAAGGTTTGGGAGAAGTTCAAAAGAACTGTAGATCATTGCTGACAAGTAGTCAGTCATTCACAGGCTCCACAGTCTACCTGCCACCCTTTTCAGTGCTCTAATCGGCAGTCACCTTTACTTTCAAGGGTGTTTTCTGTCTTACATGTTTTGTGTTCTACGTGATGTATCTCAGCTAAGAGCCATATCATGTTTTTGTAAAACCCATGAAGCATGATGATATGAAACATAGTCCTGGAGGTGACTTGACTCAGCTTTCTTTCCTATCTAAATCAATCTCACTGGATCCTTGAATGAATTAGGTCGTCTCCCCTGCACAGAGATTGTGCTAATTACATCCTACTGATGAAAAAGCATTTTTTTTATTAATTTCCATGAATGATGGCATGAGAAAATCGGCAAATTCTTGCAACAATGTCTTGAAGAATCTTGTCTTGTTCAGGTGATTTAATGCCAGTTTTGCTTGATTAAGTAATTATCAGGCTAAGTAAACCTGGTTTTGATTAATCTAATGTTCCACAATGCATTGTTCTGCAGAATCACGAGCTGGAAAAATATTGCTTTTTGGAGAAGACGGTGGAGAGAAATGACAAGAAAAGGCATTACCAAGAACGACATTGAAGCTATCTCCTCATGCTTCGGAGAAAGCTATTTCTATTTCTTGGCTCTATTCTGAGGATCATTTCTGGGGAAAAAAAAATTAAAAAATTAAAAAAAGCAGATGGGTCACGCTCACACCCCCTCCCCCCCCATTCTCCCTAGAATTATACATTCATTGTGAAAGCTCAATGGCAGGATCTGACTGGGGAGGGTGTTGACCTGAGATGAGGGTTTTCTATCCATAATGGCTTGCAGCCTACCGTTGACTCTTGTAAAACAGCACCTGATTGCGTGGACCCTTCTTATATATTCTGCGTAAATATTTATATAACACAGTCACTGCTACATTTAATTTGTATCGTGTCATAATTATTTAATACTATTGCTTAATGATTAATATGTGAGAAACTGACAGCAACTAAATACTTGGTTTTGGTTTGACTTTATGTCATTTCTGCTGTGGAAAGGAAATCCAAGGTGTTGGTGACTAAAATCAGTCAAACAGATGATTTGGGTCGCTCCCAAAAGTCAACTATTTTTTTGAAAAAGATATTTTCGGCATTGCATTGGACAAAAAAATCATCTTTCTTTCCCACTGATGTTCTCTTCTGAGATCTTCCGGGCAGGCAAAGGTGGCATTGATGTGCCTTCCTTTTCTGCAGAATTTCCTCTTACTTCTTCAAAAGGGAGGAGGTCAACGGCTACCGTGATGAACCCATGCTTTCCCTAGATTCACAGAAATGTTCTTCGGAAACTTTAGTAGATTACCGGGGTTTTTGATTTTTTTTTCTGAGTGCGAATGTAAGATATTACGATTATCTGGATTTCTATATAGAATACAGTTTTCTTATTTAGTTTTAAATAATATTAATAATAATTTGAAAAAATGCCCCCGGCCCCAATAATCGGATTTTTTTGAAAAATAGGAGAGGGGGAAAAGCAGGTAAGACCAACGAAAACTTTCTCTTATGCCGTGAGAACCTTCTGAGACGGTTATGCTAACCGGCGGTGTGCCAACTCTGAGCCCCCCTCTCCTATATAGAGGGGAGGAGGGAGAGAGGGCAGGAGGAGCAAGAAGGAAACGATGCCTCTCACGATGGTCGACGCTTCCGTCGTGGATTTCGCGGCGGTGTTCCAGAAATTCAAAGCAGACAGCCCACGGAAGAAGTTCCTCCTCTTCCTGGCGGACAAGGATCCGATCTCCTCGCTGAGTTGGTGCCCTGGTACGTCCTCCCGCCTCTGTTATCGTCGTAGACTTGAATTTGGGTGGTGGTTCGAAGCGTTGGCGGGGACTCTCGTTACCCTATTTTGTTGATCCGAGGGGTGAGGGATCTAGGATGATTTGTCGGTTATTAACCGGTAGATAGATCCATAGATCCCTCAGTCCTCCGGAAAAAGAGGAAACCATTGAATTATAATTTCCCTGCAGGTAGTGCCGATAAAGTTTCTTCGTAATTTGGCCGCAGATCATCCTCTTCGGCCCCGTCAGTCTAAGATTCCGTCTATCCATGAAAAAGAAGAAGAAGAAGAAGAGTAGTAAACTATCAGATTATCTTTTCCCTACAGTGTTGATAAAATTCTTCCTAATCAGAGCACAGATCATCCCTCTTCGGCCCCATCAGTCAAAAATCCGGTGGATCCAGAAAAAACTATAAATTAGTTTTCTTCGTAATTTGAACGCAGTTCCTCTTCTTTTCCCCGAAATGAAGATGATGACGAGCTACCCCTTCTTCCTCTTCCTCTTATTTGATGATAGATTGTAATGTGGCGGAGCCGGTGATATACCAGAAGCTAGCGGCTTCGGCCGACGAGGTGGCCGTCCTGAGAGCCTTCGTCGGAGACCGGCCGACGTGGAGGAGCCCCGTTCACCCGTGGCGGGTTGACCCCCTGCTGAAGATCAGGGGCGTCCCTACGCTCATCCGCTGGGACGGCGACGCCATCGCCGGCCGCCTCGAGGACTACGAAGCCCACGTCCCAAGGAAGATCGACGCCCTCCTCGAGTGATGTGATCCCCCCCCCTTGCAGATCTTCCCTCATATCCGTCTTCCCCTTTCCTCTGTTTCTACTCCCCATCGAGAGAGAGAGATAGAGAGAGAGAGTTGACTTCTTTCTACTGCTCCTATAACAGATGGTTCTCCATGCCTCTGTTGCTATCGGGCAGGCGGGGCCAGAGGATGGGCTCAATAGGCCCGGCCCACTTAACTCTGCGAGGGCTGTCCACGGACCCGTTAAACTCGAGCGCGGTCATGCCCCTTCGTGGGCCCCACCTGTGCATATTTGAGAGAGAATCTAGCGTTGGGACGTTGCCGGACCGGGCTCAGCCCATTTTCATTTTCGGGCCTCAAAACGGAGTCTTTCACACGTCGGTGCTCACTTGTCCATGGTTTTATTTCACTTGGCTGATTGGGCCCGGGCCGTATTAATGCGAGGCCCGCAAGACTCGAGCTGGGCCCGATCCCTAGAGTGGGCCCCACCACCTGAGAGACAGACTCGGTCGGGCCAGGCTCGGCCAATTTTATTTTTCGGACTCCAAAGTGTTTAACACGTCCGATGCCTCTCTTGCCATCGGACGGGTCGGGTTAGAGGAAGAGCGCAACAGGCCCAGTCAACTTATTCCTGAACTCAGCAAGGGCTGTCGACGAGCCCGGGAGACTCGAGCCCGGCCTGCCTGCGCGAGGGTCCCACCTAGCTGAGAGAGAATTTAGCGTAGGGACGTGGTCGGGCTCCGCTCGGCACAACTTATTTTTGGGGCCCAAAAATGAAGGGGCGGGGCCCAGAATCGAATGCTTCACACGTCAGCATCGCCACTCACGTATACATTTTTTCTTTTTTCTAACTTGGCTGATCGGGCCTGGGCCCAATTATTTGAAGCCCGTTATTTCTCCGGCCCGGCCTTTTGCCATCTGGAGCCAAAAATGCTTCCCTCCACCAGGTGACCGCCGGAAGAACCAGAAAGAACCCTACGGAGCTCCGGAAGAACGGAGGAGACTGAGGTTGGAGGTGCGAGGCTGCCCGCGGTCGTCGTCGAGTTTCCTGCTTAGATCGATCGGCTACTTTTTGTCGCTCTCCAGCCGGCTGTGCCGTCGCGCGAAGTTTATGGACTCCGAAGGCAGCGGAAACAGCCCGATCGAGCGGAACAAACGCAAGAAATCCAATGTCAAGTCCGCCAAGAAGGGAAAGGGGAGTGTCTTAAAGCAGAGTCAGTCTCTCTCTCTCTCTCTCTCTCTCTCTCTCTCTCTCTCTCTCTCTCTCTCTCTCTCTCTCTCTCTCGCTCTCCCGCTCTCCCGCTCACGCTGAATCTCGTTGTGCGTGCATGTGTGAGCTCCTTTTTGAGACGTTTGCAAATGATGGATGATAAAGTGGTAGGAGTCGATAATTGTGTGCTCTCACCACAAATGTTTCAGAGTCTCCGGCTGAGTTCTTCGCAGAGAACAAGAACATAGCTGGATTCGACAATGTAAGCATTTTCACTGGCTCCAATGTCCTACTTAGTTGGCTTATGCTGAGAATCAAATTGTACTCTTTTTTTTTACGAGTCATGTGAATTTAGAGGCGTCTTTGATGTAAATAACTCTTTTTCTGGCACATTCCAGCCAGGAAAGTCTCTCTACACAACCATGCGAGAGCTCGTGGAGAATGCTCTTGATTCAGCTGAATCCATATCTGTGCTTCCGGATATAGAGATAACAATGTAAGCGATTGAGCTCCCATCATGCCCTGTCTAATGAATATCTCTTGAAGAGGCACACAAATTGTGTAACCGTCATAAACATGTGCTGGAGGATCACCTTTGTCTCCTGTTGAGCTATCTATTTATGTATTTGATTAGTATTCAACGTGCATCATTCTTTTAACAGAGAAGAGATAAGTAAGAGTAGGTACAATTCAATGATTGGTCTTGTGGACCGGGAGCGTGTTGATGAAGAGCTCTATGATGATTTTGAGTCTGCCAAGGCTCGTGAGGTAGTTTTTTTTGAAAAATGTTCTCAATATTCGAATACTCTGTGTTAGACTGAAGTTACTTCTACTTTCCAGCCATAAAACCATGAGCATAGAATACTGATATCTTCTTGTTGTCAATTATCCTAAGAAACGCCTTGCCAAAGAAGCTCGTGCTCTCGAAATTGAAGCGAAGAAGCCTTTACTTGTGAAAAAGATGAAAGATAACCTTCATGGAAGAGGACCAAAAGGCCGAGGGGATGCCTCATTCTACAGGGTTGTCTGCAAGGTTTGATTCCTCTGTGATAAATGATTTTGTGTTGTGATGTGGAAGTAGAATGTGGGAAGATTTCGTTTATCCAATGATTGTTTTCCATGCCTTCAAATCATTGAAAAGCTCATTAATGGGTTGTCGTCCTTCATTGTGAGGTATTTCCTAGTCTCATGGACTTATCGCATTGTTCTTAGAAGTTATGAATGGAATGTTGTGCTTTATGCTTGCATATGATATGCCAGATTGACAATTATACTGGCCAAGTTTATTTGGATCTAGTTCAGGTCCATAATTTATGTTCATATTATGGGAAAGGGTTTTAGGATGATGAGCGTCATGCATTGGATGATTTTCATTCATTTTAGTTTTTAATAATGTATCATGGATTGTGTTGTGATTCGAATTCTCGACTGCTTCGTTTTAGGATAATGGCAGAGGAATGGCTCATGATGACATCCCAAATATGTTTGGAGTAGGTGTGAATCCATATGACCAATTCATTGTTGTTGCCATCTAATAATATATTTCCCTTGCCCTGCAGGATTAGATGGGATGCCTAAGACTTTGGCACGATGCATATTTTTGCTGTGTTGCCACAAAGCTGTGAATTAAATTTGACGATTTTCCCTTGTTGTAATATGGTTGTGTAAAAATATTTGCAGTTCTTTCTGGGACAAAATATGGCTTGAAGCAAACTCGTGGAAAATTTGGATTAGGTGCAAAAATGGTGAGTGGCACATAAGTCTCCTATGTCCTTGAATTTAGTTAGATACCAATGTCTTAATGATAATTTTAGTACAGAAAAACTTTCAGGGACACTGGTTTGAGTAATTGTCTCTTTCTTGGTTTGATTTTTCTTTCTTTACTGGAAAAAAATAAATCATATGTGCCTTTGTTGCGTTATTTTTTATGAAGACCAAAAGTATCTGCAAATTGTCTCAAGCAATGGTGACTTTGGGCTTTATGTAGTCCATAATGGAATGGTAATTTATATCTAAAAAAATGTGCATTGAACTTTGTTTCTTTATTCATCCTGACCATCTTACAGCTCATCTTATTTACCTGAAAGTTTCATTAGTGTTTTGTTGATCTCGTGCTCTTGAAATTTTCTGCTCCTCTTGCTGGGATATACTGGCCTGATTCTTGCAGTCTAATGCAGGCGTTGATCTGGTCTAAGATGAGTACGGGTCTTCCTATAGAGATTTCATCCTCACTGAGAGGTCAAAGTTATGTTTCGTTCTGCAGACTTGACATTGATATTCACCGGTATGTGGATGACATGCATGGGTGACCGTGATTTGCATTTAACTTATCTGAGGGGTGGACACCATCCTTAAAAAGGTTGTTCAACCTGTCTACTCTACTTCTAATCACCCGCTAAGTATATCTAAATGTTTCTCAGGAATATTCCTCATATTCATAAGCATGAGAAGCGGGAAAACAAGGATCAATGGCATGGAGCAGAAATTCAAGTTATTATCGAAGGGAACTGGACAACATATCGTGTGAGTGGCAGTTGACGGTTTCCATTGTCAGAGAGTCCATACAATATTTTCGATCATGTGCTGTGTACATTATCCACACACAGGTCTCCAATACGTTGCCGACTGAGACCTTTTTTTTTTTAACATATGCAGTCAAAGATTTTTCATTACATGCGCCAGCTGGCTGTAATTACGCCCTATTCTCAGTTCATTTTTAGATTCGTCTCTGAAGTGCAAGAGTAAGGTCTGATTTTTGTGTCTCATTCTATGTCGTATAATTGTATCCATAATCATTTTTCCATATTCTTCTTTTTTACAGGAAAAATATCACAGTACGATTTGCACGTAGAACAGATGTGATGCCTCCAGTTCCAGCTGAAACAAAGCATCATCCTTCTGCTGTTGATATACTGCTTATTAAGCACCTTGTTGAAGAGTCTTCAAAGCAGAACCTTCTGCAGTTTCTTCAGCACGAATTCGTAAATATTGGAAAGACCCATGCTGAGAGATTAATTGGTAACTCGGTCCATTAGTTTTAAGTTTATCCTTTTTCATTTTCATCTTTACCATTGCTGACATTCTTGTCCATAGATTTCTTATAATTTTCCTAGCTTGATTCTTTTCCTACCGAAAATAATTTCCGCATCCATCCCAAAAAGAAAGAGTTCTAGTTATTCTCCTTCTTTGTCAGATTTTGGCGCCATCAAGGTCGACTGTGAGGCAGTTTTTCAACTGTGTTATATAAGTCAATGTCGCTGATGAGTGGATCTCAATTGCATTACTCAGTTATACATAATGAAGTCAGTGGTCATATTTTTGACTGTTTGATTGGAAGACCCATTTGCATGTTTCTGTTGAGTATTGCACCTAGTATTCACCTTGATCTTGGTGTCACAAAATACTTAAATTGTACGCATGATCTCAGAAAGATAGGAATTTCCTAAGATTTACATGACGAAAATTTCTTTTGCTGTTAGATTAGTTCATTATATTAATTTCAACAATATTCCCTTTGCTCTGCAGGAGAAATGGGTCCAGATTTTAGTGCTAAGATGCCTGTTAAAGGTCTCACCTCCCAGCAAATCGTTCGCATTCATCAATTGTTTCGTCAAGCAAAGTTCGATGATCCTAGTGGTGATGTCAGTTATTATCTTTGTTTTAAGCATCCCTTCATCTCTTCCCATTATCGAATATCCTAATTATAGGATTCACCTTCTTCCCATCAAATAACATATTATCCTTCCATCTTTCCATTACGTCACTCATAGTGTCTTAGCCCTGCTGGGGAGTACAATCTTCGCCTAGGAATCATAAAAGAGCTGCATCCAGACATGGTTGCCACTTACGCAAGCAGGTTGGCATCTACTTCCATTACCCTTCCCCTTTCTAGTAACCCGGACTTTTCATTTGCAAGATACCATTTTTTGTTCTTTCCATCTGCAAACCAAATCGAAAGAACAAAAAAATTATTGAGTCAGATGCATCAGATCGCCACTTAAAGAACCTGACGTGTGTTGAATGTTTGCATTGTTCTTGGCCATAGCCCGCAGGTTTTTGAAGGTCATCCATTCATTGTGGAAGCGGGGATTAGCCTGGGTGGAAAAGATGTCAAGCAAGTTAGTATCACATGTTTATAGTCATTATTACTGGATAATATTGTCTATCCAAGATAAAGTTTTTTTATTAATTTTTTTTATTTCTCCAGGGTCTGAATATCTTCCGCTTTGCAAACCGTATACCACTTCTGTTTGAGCAGGGCGCCGATGTTGTCACAAGGACTGCTCTAAAGAGGATCAAGTTAGCTCATTCTCTCATCGAAAACTGTCTTCTCACTACTAATCTACCATGTTCTTAGCCCGAAATTTTCTCTTCTTTTTTTTTTTCTCCTCTTCTCGACTTTTGCATTTTCAGTTGGAGTAGCTACAAGATTAATCAGATGCAAGACAAAATCGGGGTTTTTGTGAGTATTGTGAGCACAAAGATACCTTTCAAGGGTACAGGAAAGGAATACATTGGGGATGACATCAGTGAGATATCGTCTGTTGTAAAGGTTGCCATACAGCCGTCTATCTGTCTCCTTTGCTGCTCACAAGCTGTATAACATCATGGTTGACTTTTGCTTCTTTTTTGGGAAATAAAAATAAAATCGGTATGCAGTCTGCTATTAAACAGTGTTGTCTTCAGCTGAAGTCAAAGATAGTGAAGAAACTTGAGGCTCGTGAACGCCAAGAGAGGAAAAGGAACCTGACCAGGTAAACCATGCAAAGTCTTGGACTTCTCTGTAGCCGTTTTCCCATAATTAGGATGGATAGATGTTCTTCATGTTGACTTTGTGCAGCCCTTTTTAGGAAAGAGTGTGGCGAATCCCACCTCTACTGAATGGAGAGGTTGTTGTTGGTCTGCAGGTATGTTCCTGATGCGTCAAGGGCCTTAGTTGAGGTCCTCCGCGAGCTGAAACCGGGGAAGAGGCAACGCCTCGAGGATGATGAACTCATAAGGAAAGTAATCAGTCGGGATATCACGGAGGCCACCTTCAGGGAGAAGCTCACTCAACACGTCGAGCAGGTAACCCCTCTCTCTCTCTCTCTCTCTCTCTCTCTCTCTCTTTCTCTCCCCCCCCCCCTTTCTAATTTGTAGTCATGGTGTGTAGGTACTCCGTGGTGGATTACCTACACACCATGGAGTAGCTTGAGCTGAGTTCCGCGGTATCTGTGTCCGTTGCAGGTTGATTATGAGATGGCACTGGAATATGCTACTCAGAGAGGAGTTCGAGAGGAGCCTCGAGAGCCCATCTACATCAGTGCCCTCGAAGGAGCCCGGAGCTCCTCCATCCTCCTCCACGGGCCTGTTTTTGCCTTCAGGCTCATCCAATGAGAGCCCATCCATCACCGGAGAGATGGGTATTTATTCTCCATGTAAATTCTTTCATTTTTTTTCTATAAACTGTCTTCAAATAATGGCAAGCTCAGATATGTTCCTCCTTTACCGGCTCCTTTTATTGGCCCCGGCCACCGGCATTAACTCTTGTACCCACGTATGCATGCATGCATGGAGCGAGAGAGAGGGAGGGAGAGAGGGAGGGAGAGAGGGAGAGAGAAAGAGAGAGAGAGAGAGAGAGAGATTATTTTATTTTATTTTTTAATTAAGAACCCTGTTTTTATCATAAAAAATACAGTTTTTTCTCAGTAGTATTAAGTCTTCGTTGCGCTGCTGCTCTCTCTCTCTCTCTCTCTCTCTCTCTCTCTCTCTCTCTCTCTCTCTCTCTCTCTCTCTCTCTCTCTCTCTCTCTCTCGCTCTCATATGTGCTTTGTTTCTTCTACTAGAATAAGAGAGGGAATATGATGAGACCCCACCCCCTCCCCTTTTACAAAGCAAAATGCTTGAAATTCTGAAGAAACAAGATAGAAGAAATATCGAAAATCGACAAATTCAAGAGAAAAGGAGAGTCTTTATTCCTTATTGACATAATTGAATCAAATACAAGAAGATGAATAGAGAAAATAAATCTAATAGAGATAACATACATAAGAAGGACTCAAGGTAAGCTTATAGAGGAACCCACTGAATCTGATGACCACTTCGAGGGGGGGGGGGGATTGACCTCCAGAACTCTCACCATGGCTTCCTTCCCCCCTCCTACGAAATCTCACAGCTTAGAGAGCATTCCGACTGACCAATTTGCCCCAAATTGACAGAGGGCTCTACCTTCCTGCCTTAGGACAGGCCTTCTGAAGGGTGTAAGGATCTCACTAGAATGCCCCCTCCAATGGAAAGGCTTCAGGGGTCGTCCTGAGGACCGAGCAAGGTTTTGGAGGAGATGCTACTTGTAGAATCGCAAGGAGATATATGGGTTTCAGCTCGGATTCTTCCTCGTTTTTCTCTCTTGGCTTACCTTTTAGCTTTTTAGGGTGCCTCTCTCTCTCTTCTCCAACATGCAGAGAGCATGCTCGATTTTGGTCATTTTACTGCACAAGGAATGATCATTCTCTCTCTCTCTCTCTCTCTCTCCCCATTGGCTCTCATCAAAAAGAAAATTCGATGTGTCTCCAACCATTCTTGACATGAACATGCTGATGTTTGATTCCATTCCCTAAGCTTCTATATCTTCCATGTCTCAATGGTCTGGGGATCAATCTACACTACAAACTCTTCACTGATTTCTAACTTGATCTCTCATTTCTCTAGTTCTTCTAGGAGTTTTGCAGGGCCATCAGGCGACTTCTTATCAACAGTTGATCTTTGCAGTGGTCGCTCCACCATTTTGAGGTAAAAATATGACGAGCTACCACTTTACTTGGGTCACCGCAAAGGAAAAAGAGTTGATTGTGTGGGCCACCGGTGGTTGTTTGGTAAATTATCAACCATTTACGATACAACGAATAGACTGTGGGCCGTTGGGCCAACTATTGTAGTAACATAAATAACTAACTAATTCATTGATAAAAGAAGGGTGAAAGCTATAGGAGAAGGGGGAGAGAAATGTTATCATAACAAGACTGGTCATCTTGAAACGGATGATATGTTAGTATATTTCTCATCCCTATTATTTCTCTTCCTTGTATTCTTCTTTATCCTTGTCCTGTGCTTATGTTCTCTTATAAGTCCAAAGTCAAACTTGCCCATTCATAATTCGATTCAGTATGAGTTATAATTTGATTCTCTATCCTTATTTTCATTTGGGCCCCCACCAAAGTAGTATTAGAGTTATACCTCCTAAGATAAGTGATGCAAAAAGAAAATTATTGGATGATTTAATAATCATTCATCTCTTTCTATCAAGGTTCAGCCACCACAAGTTTTAACAAAGTACAAAATGATGCATTTCCATTTAACATTGATGATTTAAAATAATATTCATCTCAAAGGTTAATGCTCTCCATCAAGTCTTAAGATACTTGGGTGATGGGATGAAAGGTGTTTGGGCTAAAACATATGATATTAAGAGTCTAATTGTGCCCTTAAATGGCAAGGTCTCTAAGTAGATTGAATTAGTGTGATTAAGTTGCAGATCACATTAAAGTTAGTACATGTTTTTGAATGGAAATAGCAAATTCTAGTATGAAAGATCCTCTAGGGTTGAAAATAGCCAAGTGAAAAGTGAATCAGTTTAAAAATTATTTGTGTCATTAGTAATGAAGAAAGAACCATGAGAAAAGTCATATCAAAAGAAAGAGAAATTTAAGTGAACCCACTTTGAGAAAAAGAGAGTCATGAGAAAATCTATCTCAGCACATCTATTAATAGACAATAAATGAAAATTGACAAAATTGTGGAAACCTAATTCACATCATATCTTAGTGTTTCACATATCTTACATCAATCCTACAATATTAATGATTAAACAACAACTTAGAGTTATTCTCTAAACCTTGAAAGACCTTTATTGACAATCGACCTCTTCTTCATAAAGAGACCTTGTTCACCAACCTAGGGAATCTAATTAAGATTTGTGCACGCATAATCAAATTGATATTAGAGATCAGACATTTTCCTATAATCTCTATTTAATGACACACAATAAGAAAGAAAGAAGTTAAAACTATTTATTTCTAATGGTGAAGACCTTGAAGGGTGTATTTTTAAGACAGTTATACTTCTCTATGTTCTAACTCTTGAAATATGATTAGTTATGGACAATAAGATTAAGGTTTGTAGGGAAAATTCTCACATAGTTTAAATGAGCTGATATTAGATAATCATTTTTGAATTTAAGGGAATTGAGGCAGCTTGTACTCAAATGCTTTAAGGTCAAATTGAATTGATCTATCATAAATCGCTATAGATTGTATAAGTAGGATTAGTAGTTGAGTACTAAGAGGAGTTTAAGTTAACAAAAGTAATAGTTGGAAATCTTTTGTAAGACATTCTCAACAATATATTTCTCAAAATATTATAAGAAGATATTTAGGTTGAAGTGCTACTTTTTGAGTAAGATGGGTTGATAATCATAATGATCATTATTCATAAGATATAAATGAAAAACAAAAAAATCAAGCATCTTGATAGTTCATATTTCATTTCTCAAAACATATTTCACACCTTACAGCTTATTAGTTATCTATACCACATTATTAGTGAATCATTGTTATGTGGGTCTGAAAATTTGTCGAGGGGTCATTCTTGAGTTTACAACTCCTACAATGTGTGAAAATATATTAATTTGTCTACTAGTTATTGTCAGCGTGGTATTAAGCCTAAAGTGGCTCCACATGAGGAAGGTGGAACTGAATTTTGAATAGTGAGATTTTTGGTATAACCCTTATCATTTTCTCCTAGAAGAAGAGATCGAATTGTCAAGGAAATCAAACCTAGCCTGAGATTCTATTAAGCAAACTTGGCCCAGCAAATGCAAAAGGTGAGTACATGCCCATCAAGATACTTAGAAAGGGAGGGAACTTTAATGGAGATAGGTTAGTTATCAAGGGGGAAAAGTAGGGTGTCATCTTTTGGGAAAGGGGTAGTCTAAGGAGTGGAGTGATTGTGCCCTTTTGTCTATCAAGAGAGGTTAAGGTTAGGTTTCGTAACCCTTGAACAATTATCATATTTTATATTCTTGTATTTTCTCCATCACTCTATTGTGGTTCATATCACTAGTATCAAACTAAGTTCTGACCACCATGCCTCTAAGACTTGAGGAATGAGTCAACCTCTTAGAGTTTGAGGTATAGTTTGTCAAGAGTGACTTAGCCAGTAGGTTGGTCGAGAACAAGAAAGTAATGAATAATATCACTAATTGTTATAACGATTAGAACAAGTGGAGGACCAAGTGTCTACTATGGAGGAGTCTTCTCAACCACAATCAAACAACACTCGAGTCTATCAAAGCTGTCAAAAGTCAACTCATGCCCCCTCCCCAAGTGAGGCTATTAAAGTCAAAGAAAGTTATTTATCCCAAGTTCTAAAAGAGAAAAATCTTGACTCGTGATTTTCTCGCACATAGTTCTATTCAAATATGAATAACATCTTAGAAGAAGTTAAGATGAACAAGGTATCATAAATTTGGAAGGGGATGTCTTGTTGTGATATCACTAGAACAACAAAAGATACCCCTTTAAAGAATGTTAGGATCTCCAACTACAACATCTCAGATGCCTGGTCAAATCCTCCAAAGGCAACATTGTCAACTGGTTTCTGAGGTGTTATCAGCTTTTCTAACAAGGGTTTTAGAAGAAGTTATGGAAAATAATTACATTAAAAGACTAAAAGGAGAGATACAGACAAAGTTGTGTATGAGTAAATCAAAAGGTCTATGAGATATTATAGACTTTTTTTGGTAGTGGAAGTCAAAGTCTTTGATTAACTTGGGATCCCCAATTACACAAACCACATAAGACCTACACTTCTTCATCATTAGGGGTAAAAAACAATGAGGGTGACTATATACATATCACATGGTCCTTAAACAAGCAAAAAGAGAGACAAGCAACTCAATTAGTTTAAACCACCACATTGTAGTCAAAAGCTTTGAGTTTTTTACATAAAAATAAGGGGTCAATGCAATAAGGAGATTAAATATCACAATGTCAAAGCTGCAAGAGAGGAAGAAAAATGGTCTAATATTATGGTGAAAGGTTTGACTCAAGTCATCACTATAAAAAATAATTATAGATTTTGATTATGCACAAGGAGGATTGAAGCATTCAAGTAAGCTATGAAGGTAAGATAGACAATTTAAATGACATTGACAATGAGGCTCTAGCACAAAGTCAATTAGAAGAAGAGTCTATGAAGAAGACATATATCATTGAATTTAGTGGTTGGCCTCACCAACTTGAGGCCTATGATAATGAAATGAGAGGTTAATGGAAGACAAGTCACAATGCTAATTGATTTCACGGCTATTCATAATTTTCTTTGTGAGAAATTAGTTATAA